TGACTGCCCTATGCGACTATTTTGTAATCACTATAATTCTTAAGGGATGGAACCAAAAGTATTAAAGCAGAAGCCACTTTTTTCCCTAAGTGTTTAACCCAAGAAGAAAAAAAAACCAAAACAAAACAATGCCCACATCTGCCAGTGTAAGTTGTAAGAAAATATATTTATTTTTTCCATGACAATACTATGATAAAATTGTTAAATACATGCATGTTTTAAAAACAGACATAAGTAACATCTTTAAGAGTTAACAGCCAAGCGTACTAGTTTTACATTTAAGGTCTCTTAGTAATAGGTTACTTATATTCTATGTTCTTGCTATAACCATGTTCTCCAAAACATATGGAAACTAAATTCTGAAATTATACAATATAAAATGACCAAATTTTTCCATTCTAACACCACATAATCTCCAAATTTTCACAAGGCAGAAAATACTTGTTACCTTTGTAAGTGGAGTTGTTTTATTCCACATTGAACTCAGGATTTTGCGAGTTTGAGTGAGTCACACAAATGTCCTACAACCTGCAGTTTGCTTCCTGTATACGTATGTAAATGTTTCTCCTTATATGACTAAGCATGATCTTAGATACAGAACATCATGACTGATCATTCAGGTAAAAAAAAAAAAAAGAGAGAGAGAGAGAAACAAAAGGTCGGTAGTGGTAACATTTCAAGAAATGAAGAAGGGAACAGGTTTAGATCTGCAGCCTCTCCCTCTTTCAGCTACATCTGCACACACCTGACTGAACAAAAATTAGTAAACAGCTGCTAGTATTTATAAAAAAAAAAAGAAGATATTTAACATACATCCCTTTTGAAAAAACACTCATTCTACAAAGAACCTTATAAAAAACAAAAACTTATATCTGTTCACAGTATGTGTATTTTGTAAACAGTCATTCACTATAATGCGATTTTGAAAGTAGAAATGGCGATTTCCTAGCACTTTCAGAACTGATGGCCAGCTAATCAAAGAGAATAAAAAGTAACAACATTCCTATGGTACCATCTCAAATCTGGGATCTCTCTCTACCCAGGCCAATCTTTTCAAGTGATTCTAAATTGAAATGGGTTTTTTGTTGTTTTTTTTTAAAGGCCATGTTCTTTTTTGGGGAAAATAATGTGATAAAAACAATTCTCAGGCATCATACCCTACCCACCTTTCCACAACAATAAACGGAGTAAGAGTTCTTTTTGTGTGTTGCCTTTTACTCATAATGTGTCCACACTTTTCCTAAACATTATGTAGGGGAAAGAAAACTAAATAGGAGGATTTACCGTAAGTAATGGAGAAGAGTAGTTGGAATTAAATTGGGGGCAGACTATTTGAAAAAAATTTATGAAAATTATTCAGTATTGTTTTCTATGATCAGTTGCACATGTCACAATACTAAAGTCAAACCTAAACACTAACTTGTTCACATTTAAACCAAAAATTGTATTACCATGCACAAATCTTTTGTGTGTTTTTTATAATACATCCCTGGAATGCTTAGGAAAAATAGTGAGTTCAGAAACTGAAAGTTAACCATTTAAAAGGGAGTAATTATACAGGGAAGTACATTTTAAATGTATATAAGGGAGGTCCAAGAGGGCATATGGGGGATAAATGGTGATGGAAATAGCATAATAAAATAAAGGGGAAGAATAAATGTATATAAGGAATTCAATAATTTTAAGTGAGCAATTCAATCAGGTGTAAAAGTATTTTTTGTTTAAGTGCAGCAGCATAAGGTCTATGTGGTTATTTTTATTTGTAAAAGTTCTGATTGGCTACTGCAAAGGCAATCTTAGGAGATAAATATACAAGTGTAATAAAATCAATTCCCCTATCAATTAAATATTAATTTTTCCATTCACATCTCTTAGTTTTTACTGTATTGAGTTATAGCAACCAAAAAGTAATGTAAGTTACTCCTGCTTTGTAATTGGTTAATATTCCATCAGTTATAGTTACTTAAGAGCTTTTAAATTTTTTGTTTCTATGGTTCTTTAGCTAGGCACTTGCACATAAAAACATTCAGAGGGGTTCCTTCTTAAAACACTACTTTTAATTTCCATTAAAGTGTTGCACCATTAGAATTTGTCTTGCATAGGTATACTCTTTATAACCAGGACACTTATAATCCAAGATATTAACATTCTTCATACAGGGAGGAACAAGCACTACTTAAGGTTAAAAAGAACAGAATCCTGTCCTAACTCTGTATCATCATTAAATGGATTTGGATATATTCTAGATCAAACCACATCCCCTAAAGTTTTATCACACACCATACAGCCTGACATACGGGTTGTTGTTCTTATTCCTCATACTGGCACCGATAATCCCCTGGGCACGTAATCCATGAAGATAGAAACAGACTAACATCAAACCAAGTACTTTTCAATGATATTCTAAGGTCATGTCTAAAAGATGCATTTCCAGTGAGGGTGGACACAAATCCTTGTGTGAAAAATGTTCTTTAAAAAGATGGGCATGGTGCCAAAGAAACTTTTGTTTCAGCAGAAAATACCGATTTAAAATAAATGCTGCAAAGAAATAGTTTATCAACAGAATGAGTGCTTATTTAATAATTAAGCTGCACGTCAGTGTATTGTTGGTTTGCTGGAACACATGCTGGTGGGTACAAACACGTCCCAAGTCGCATACCCATCAGAGACAAAGGAACTGGGAATACTTAGGATGAGGGGTCAATGCGCTATCTGGTGACACGTGTGCCTGAGTCTTTCCCACGCTGTCAAACTGTGGAGCCACTTCTAACGCACTGAATCTTCAAGCCAAGAGTCTCAGATCTACACGTTACACCTTGATAAAATGCTGCCCTCAGGAAAACTCTGGAAACTGCACAGTCTGAGATGGGACTCAAGTCAATGAAAAATTATTCACAAAACTTCTACAATGTGCCTCGTCTTTGAAGTTAGCTAATGAGCCCACATGTTACTCTTGAGATGCCCAATTTTACACTTTCACGGTAAAAGATTTCATAAAAGACACAGACTTTAACAGAAAACAGCAAAAATTACTTTACATAAACAAGCAAAAAGTCTTCTCAGATCATGTGCCTAAGCAGTAGAAAATTCTGATAGCATTTTCTGCATAATGACATGGTAGGGAGTACTTTAATTTCAAAATACCATCAAATTGACTTCAAATTCCTTTTGGAAGAAAATATTCCTTAGTCTCCTTTACTGAACTATATCTAATTACTCAAATACAGAAAGGACAGTAATGTTCTTTAATGTGGATGGCATGAAGACAATTAAGAAATTATAGGACGAATTTTCTGCAAAAATACAAGTTTTAAGAGTGTGGCTTTTGCCACAGAAAAAGTTTAGGACTACATGTTCTTCTCCATGGAATCCTCAGATCCAGGAGCCGGGAAAGCAATGCTGGTATGGAGAGTGAGGCTGACCCTTCTGCCCTTGAACTTTTCTGTGAATGGCTGCTTCCGGGTCTGAGCTGCAGGCACACAGCACCTCTGTCACCTGAGCTCAGAGACACCCAACTCAACGATCCAGGTTCTCAGGACCACAGTCTCAAACCCAGGCTTCTACAAGCTCAACACACTTAAGCCTTCAGTTATACATGGGTCTACTCCATGCACCACATCATGTTAAAAAAAAGGTCCATCTAATGTTAAAAGCCTAACTAAGTCTTCTAAGAGTGTTTTTATATTGAGTAGTGTTGACTTAAGGGGGCCACTCACAAGACAAATCCCGTCACAATGACCACCAGGGTCTCCCTTCCTCGTGAGGGAAGCTGGACTTGAACTTGGCTGTGAGAGATGTGGAAGTGTGTTCTGTAGGCAGCATTCTTCAACAACACGGTAGACACAGCTCGTGGACAGAGGGAGAGGATGCGGGAGCCCCAGCGCTAGTCACCCTTAGCCAGACAAACAGATCATTAGTTAGAAGGGCACTGGGTCCAGGCGGTCACAGCTGAGACACATCAGTATCAGTGACCGAGCTCACACAATCTCTGCTGATCTTTTCCCATGATCTCAGTTTAGTGTAGTCTCTAGACCAGCCGTGGGCAAACTACGGCCCGCGGGCCGGATCTGGCCCATTCGGCTGTTATATCCGGCCCGCGGAGCCGAAAGAGCGGAGGGTTCTCTTGCTCTCCCCTCCGCTCCTTCACCAGCAGCAGTGTTAACATGTATTAGTTCACACAAACACTCCATCCATGCTTTTGTTCCGGCCCTCGAGTCCAGTTTAAGAACCCATTGTGGCCCTCGAGTCAAAAAGTTTGCCCACCCCTGCTAGACCAATGAACTCCCACCTTAGACAACACTGATCCAACTTAAAGAGATGAAGGGAAGGGCCTATGGGTTTCTGTGGGGGATGAGGCAGGATCCTGTTGGGAACAAGCAGTATTGTGATGATGAGCTTTGGGGGGGGGGGGGGGGGGTCCAGGTCTGTCTCGGGTGAACGTTAAGGGCAGGAGTCCAACCAAGCTAACTCTGTTAGGGATGTTCTAATTTTGATACCTGTCTCATTGATGAAAACTCTATGAACTATTACATAGTTTAAATATTCTAGTGCAGGGGTCCTCAAACTACGGCCCGCGGGCCACATGCGGCCAGCCGAAAACATTTATCCGGCCCACCGGGTGTTTTTGCTGCCACTGTGTGCACAGGAATTTGTTCATAGTTTTTTTTTAAACTATAGTCCGGCCCTCCAATGGTCTGAGGGACAGTGAACCGGCCCCCTGTTTAATAAGTTTGAGGACCCCTGTTCTAGTGTTATGTACACAATTCTATTTTGTTCCACATGTCCACATACCGTGGAAGCTCAATCCCAGCAGCTAACATCAGGATTCACACACAGAGCATCTACACAGATCTTGCCCTTTGTCGCCCTGTGGCTTTTTTCCACAACATGGTTTTTATAAAGATACATTATGAGCTAGAAAACCCCCACACTGATGCATTATGTACAGATACATTACAGAACCTCTGGTGAGAGAAAAAACAAAACAGGCATATCTTGACTTAAGATATTTCAAAATTTTAAGTACTCTTAAGTATCAAAAGACAAAATACATAGACCACCCGAGGGCAGGAACAAAATAAGATACACTTTGTAGTTTTTCATCTGCTTTTCTGAGAACCAAATCCAATCCAGACATCACCTGTGAACACCACGGGCAGAGGCTGCCCTGGGGAGCGTGCCACGCGGCTGTAACACAGGGGTGCCCATCGACTCACATGGATCTTGTGACATTTCACCTAAGAGAGCCCTTGAGTAACTGTCCCTGTAAGAAGCATGATCTTTTTAGTTTATCTTTTTAAAAATGGAGGCCTGGATCGAACAGTCTGGACTGATGATCACATAAGAGAGAGGAACGGCTAAGAGGCGTGATCAGAAGGAACATCGGCTCCGAGGTGTCACAGCTGCTGCCTGGTGACCCAGGAGAACCCGAAGCCATCACAACCGCACAGAGAGCGAATGTCGCGAGACCCTGCGCAGTAGTCGTCTCAAACAGAAAGTCACCGCAATCGTATGTTTATGGGTAATATTGAATTTGCTCATAGATTTATGCAACTGACACTGTGGAACAAAAAATAACCCAAATTAAAACAACAATAACAACTTAGATCTCGTCTTAGGAGTTTAAGTTTTAAATACTAGGCAATCAAGTGTGATATGAAGAGCTAGCAGAAAAGTTAAAAAAATAACGGAGAGGTTGGAGAATCCCTCCAGAGGCAGGAAAGACGATTCTGACTCGGGCTGCTCAGTGTCGTGCTCCTGTTCCAAGTTTGTACCCCTGAGAAAACTGTGTGATTGATACCCATTATACAGTAGGCACAGCGATCAGCACACTGATCGATCAAAACACTAACCAGCTGTCGCTACATTAAACAATTACATTAACTTCTGTAAGTGCTGTGGAGAGCGGAGGAGAAGTGTTAAAGGTTTTCAGATCTGTGGTTGGTTTTCATCCAGGATGGAGTAAATGTCAGGCAAACCCACGGCCTCTGTGGCTCTGACAGTCCCTTTGCCTGCAAACCTGCTTGCAATTCCGTCAAGTGTCCATATGAGAAAACCATAAACGACAGAACAGGGGACGGTGGCCGCGGGATTTGTTTTGCACGTATGGACCGGGCAGCGTTTGGCTTGAAATACTTCTGGGAGGGAGAGAAAGGGAGAATTCTTTGGCTCAAATCACAAACAGCTCCAGACCTTGGGCTGTGTCTCTGCGTGACTCTGCCGTGGCGTGTAGACTACACGGAAAGCAGAGGACACGGCCGTGTGACACACGTGGTGGGGCCCACCTCGCTGACAACACTTCACAGGACCCCCCGGGGTGCCCGGGCCCACGCGGCCGCACCGGCCATGAGAGCTTATGAGATGGCGGACGGCAGTGACATGTTAATCATTTGGTTTGTTCTGGAAAAAGTTTGTGAAGGACCATCCTCCTCCATTGGATCGCGGAGAGTCTTCGTCCTTCGGGGGGATCAGGAACTGTCGGGAGTTGATGGAGCACGGGCTCCCGAAAGACACGACGTCGCTGTTGCTGTCCGTGGACCGGGGGGAGTCCGGGGACACCAAGGTCCAGGCGTTCACATTGGCCTGAGGCCTGTAACCCGCTGTTTTCTCCAAGTCCCCTTCTGCGGCGGCCTCGTCCCCGGCAGAGGTCACGGGGAGGTGCATCTGGGGCTTGTAGCCGCCCCCCGCCCCCGGGTCCGCGTCCTGCTCCGCCTCCGGCTTGGCCTGCGGCTGGTACATGGACTGCACGTCGATGTACACGACTTGGGCAGTGCCCCCGGCTTCCTCCGCTCCTGGGTTCGGTATTTCTTCCTCGATGACGGGGGGACAGTAGGACACGGCCAGGTGGCTTTCGGGCTCCGCCTCGGAGCCGTCCGGGGGATGCTCGGCCACGGGAGAAATGATCTCTGTATCCTCTATTTTAGGAACTGCCATTCGAGTTTCCAGAACCTCGACGTTATTCGGGGTACAGGGATTCATTTCCAATGTTTTCAGGGCGCTGCTTCCCTGGAAATCAATTTTAAGGCAGAGATTAAAGACAGCACCAAAACTCCCACAAAAAGCCACATTACTGCATCTATTTTTTCACATCTGCTTGTAAAAACCCGTCTCTGCGTTCTGCAGTGCTTACTGGAGCAAAGCTAATTCTGTCCCTCCATATCGATGTTATTCTTGCGATGAACAGCAGTGGGAAAAGAGTATGATACCAATGATTTAAAAATAATTATCGTAGAAATTCAGCAGATGGTAGAGCCCTTTATTTTTTCCATCTCTTTGACTTAGAATGACATTTGCATGTTAAAAATTTTCATAAAAGACTAAAAATACCAAAAGCCAGTACTTCAAAGATAAATGTAAAGTAAATACAGGATTACCTCACAGACAGCCTTCTGAAACTGTAACGCTTTACAGTTTTCGGGATTAGGAATATCAGGGTAGAAGGTCTCTTTTATCCTTTAAATAAAGAACAATTAAGTATATTTAATAATTATAAGGTTAGCGATTAGACAACCAATAGTTAATACATCATGAGGATTACTCTGACATTTCACAAGAATACTGTAATGGACATGAGATAAAAATGTGGGATCAGCCCTGGCTGGTTTGGCTCAATGGATAGAGCACTGGCCCGTGGACTGGAGGTTCCTGGGTTCGATTCCGGTCAAAGGCACATGTCCGGGTGGTGGGCTCGATCCCCAGTCTGGGGCATGCTGGAGGCAGCCGATCAATGATTGTCTCTCATCATTGATATTTGTCTCTCTCTCCCTCTCCCTTCCTCTCTGAAATCAATAAAAAATATTTTTTTTAAAAAAAGTGGGATCATTTTTAGTGTGATCACTAGAACTTTCCACGCAATGCACTGAGAGGCTCCACTTTTAATATATAAACACCTACTTCTATTCCCAGAACGACAATAGCTCATGTCTCTTATGAAAACGGAAAGCACAGAATTAAAACGTGGCTGTGCAAACGTGGCTGTGCTAGCAGGTCAAAAGCAAAGCGCAGGCCTTGCTCACGTAAACCAAATGTTTGTGCCGCAACTGCACAGCCTGCATCACACAGCCTCCCCTGCTCCTAAGGGCTCGGATTGCAAGCCTGAGAGAGAAGGTTCTGGACCGTGTGAGAGAGAAAGGCTGTTCCTCTTGAGCACAAAGTAAACACAGACACAAGAAAGACTCGGTGCCATACCCCACCTGCAGCCATTCAAAGGGGCGTTACTATTCAAAATTCCTGCAGGAGAAGAACTGTTAATGCAAAACTGAAATGCTCTCACGTCAAAGTAAAACTCTCCCCTTTGGCTTTTTTTTTTAATACTGAAATCAGTTTTATGGAGTGATGTTGGATCATGAGAATGTGGTTATTACTAAGAAGATAGGGCAGGGCATTCTACAGATTTTGATTTTTAAGCCAGGATTGCTAGGATAAATTCTTGCCTTTGTCATAAACAGGGGTATTTTCAAGGCCAGTGAGGACGGTCGATGCATGAACACCACCGTTTGCCCCAGCGCAGCCCACGGTGGACCTTGCCAGCTGACCACCGGGCGCTCTGCCTCGCCTCGCCTCGCCTCGCCTCACCTCACCTACTGCCATTCACCCAGACACATCGTTCCTCTCACTTTCTCCAGATGGTCAACCTCTTTCCAGTTCCTGGGTCCTCAGAGGAGTCCTTTTCTCTGCCTGGAGCCTCCTTTCCCCTCCGCACCCTTTGGGACTCTGCCAGATGGACTCCGCAGGGAGCCTTGGCAGCCCCCTGCAGCTACGGGGCCTCCTGCTGTTCTCAGGGCGCCCACGACCCTGCCATACCCGCCCTCTGTGGGCATGAATCTGCTGGGTGGTTATGGGTTTAATGCCCGGCGCCCCCTACACTCTAAGCCTACACATTTACTTAGTTTACCACTATTTCCATCCTCACGTGGGAGGAGGCATCCATGTCCGTTGACTAAACGAATAAATGACCAGATTTTCTAAACAGATCACTAGACAAGTCAGATCTTAACCATTAAGCTACATTTAATCTTGCATAAAGCTATTGTCAGATTTAAGCCTGCAAAGATTTCTTTTGAGTATAAATACTATTACTCTAAATTATTAGGAAACACAGTAGGGGAAACATTTGTGCTTTTACCTTATTAATTTTTAAACCTTTAAATCGTATGCCAAACTCTTGCCCAACATTCGATCCAACATTAATTCTGACGAAAACAAGTATTTCTTTTTACTAACTAGCTTCAACCGAAAAAAATGTACTTATTCGTTAAACATAAACTACACAAAAGAGCAAAAGTAAACGCAGGTGCCATTACCATTCTCGCTTCCGGTAACAAAGGACACTGGTCACCACCCCGACAATGACCGCCACGGCCACGGGGATGAGGATGGCGATGATTAGCCCCACGGCTGGAAAGAGAATGTTGCAAATATTAAAACCCCCGCTTCCAGGATGGAGTCTAGAACACGTTTATATCAGAAAATATTTAAGTGGGTAGCTGAGAAGAAAGAAGTCCCGCCTGCTCCAGGAACACTGGAACTACTCGAGCATAACCTTCGAGCACGTGAACAGTTCCCTCCCCCGCACTTCAGTTCTTCCGAGCAGGGTTTCTCAGCCTCGGCCCTACTGACACTGCGGGCCAGGTATTGCGTCACCGTGTGTGTCTGTGTGCCGGGGGAAGGCCGCTGTGCACACGGTAGGAAGTTTAGCAGCATAGCTATGGTCCTCACCCCTAGCTCTCCGAAGTGCCAGCAGACATTGCCAGGTGTCCCCAGGGAGGCAAAAGGCCCCCCCAGTTGAGAACCACAAGCTCACGGTCATTTGCGTAAGCGAGTGTGTGACCTCCAAAGTAAAGAGAATAAATCCGAAGTCACCTCAGGGCCTTTTAACCTGCTGGGCACCCACTGGAAAAATGCCATCAGTGGGAACCTTAGATGAGGGGATCCCCAATAAACACGAATCGCTGGAAACACTGTGCCTGCAAGTGCGGGGAGCCCTGCCCGCCCGGCACACTCACAGTTCTCCTTGGTCACCACGAACATGCCCTTCCCGGGGCCCAGGCCGCCGTCCGTGTAGGCGCGCAGGACCAGGTGGTAGCTGGTTTTGCCTTGAAGGTCGGCGATCCGCAGGGTCTTCTGGGAGATGTCGGTGATGTTCTTAACTTTCACGTCAGAACGGCCTGTTTTTAAAGCGAAGAAGACTGTGATCATCTCTGTGCATTTTAAACGCGTGGGCACCGCAGCTGTCGCACCCGCGTCCCCGGGAGGTGAGTCCAGCGGCGGCCCCTCTGCAGGCCTGGGACCGGGGAGCCAGCCGAGCCACGGCCACGCTCCACCTCTGCCGCCGAGTAGCCACGTGAGCTGGACCTTATATTTAAGCCCCCTGAACCTGAGCGTCTCCAACCATGAAACGGAGTATCCGGCCTTATCTGGCGAGGCCGTGGGAGGCTCTCACACACACGTTGCCCGGAGTGACGCCCGGCACGTGGAAGGCGGTAACTACAAGTCCCTCTCTTTCTGCTGCGAAGAGCATGAGAAACCACGGGCAGGCCCACCAGGGCGGGGGCCGCGGTCACTCCCTCTGGCCCTGCCTGTGCGTTGAGACCAGAGGCAGCGAGAGTACAAATCAGTGGAGACGGCTCCAAACCACCCAGAAACAGAGGCTTCCCAATGAGGCACCAGTGAGGCAGCCTCTGAGTCATTTCAGAAAGTAAAGAATTGTTGAAAGGGCTTCGCCAACACACGTACATGCGTAACCCACAGACACAGACAACAGTGTGGTGCTGGCCAGAGGGAGGGGGCGGGGGCTGCATGGAGGCGGGCAGAGGGGGAAACATGGGGGCATCTGTAACAGCGTCAATAGTAAAAACAAAGGGAAAAAGAAAAGAACTGTTTAAACTATCATTTTTTAAATCTCAACCAGAACAACACAAAACACTAGTTTTAAAAAATTAAATCATATTATAGAGCTAAGAACCAAAAAGCAGCAGTTCCCTGCCAGCCTCTGCCCCCCACCCCCGACCCACACCCACTTTAGAATCATGTTACCAGTTTCCTTGGATATTGGTTGTGTGGGACCACGCAGAAAACTGTGGTCCAACCATTTCAAAACGAACTTCAATGGGCAAGGCCTGATTTTTAAATTTTGGAATTATCTACCCATGTCCCACAGGTAGACGCTTAGCTCGCTCTCACCACTACCCCTCTGCCCCCAACCCCACATCATTCATCCAGAAACATCAACACGTTTGGCACAGCTGGTGTTTCCATCACTGTGGTCATATAAACGTGGATTAGTGCTAAGATGCGCTTTGGTATGACGTTTCCTGTCTTGCTTTTCTGTTGTTATAACTGCTTTTTACCCTTACTTGCTTGCTGTACCAATTCCTAATTCCTCCTACATCCTCCAATGAATATTCAATACAACTTTCTACGTGGTCCAACACAACCAAGGCCCAGGATCATGGCCCTTCCCCAACCCTGTACTGGCCTCCCCGCTTCCGTCTGCTGCCCCCCAAGGCCACTCCTCCCAGAGCCTCTGCCCTGGACTGGACTCCCCGCCCCACTACGTCCTCACGGGTACACGGGTGTGGCGGCTTCCTGAGAGAGGGTACGTGCGGGAAGGAAGCGTGCGGGCCTGCATGTCTGAAAATGCCTCCATTCTGCTCGCATACTGGTTGGTAGACGGCTGAGCACAGAATTTCAGGCTGAAAATAATTTTCACTCAGCATTTTGAAGACACAGCTGTGATACCTTCTAGAACAGTGATGGTGAACCTTTTGAGCTCGGCGTGTCAGCATTTTGAAAAACCCTAACTTAACTCTGGTGCCGTGTCACATATAGAAATTTTTTGATATTTGTAACCATAGTAAAACAAAGACATATTTTTGATATTTATTTTATATATTTAAATGCCATTTAACAAAGAAAAATCAACCAAAAAAATGAGTTCATGTGTCACCTCTGACACGTGTGCCATAGGTTCGCCATCACTGCTCTAGAATCTGGTGCATTGTGGAGAGTCTGGGCCAGCTTAGTTCTGAGGGCGTTCTGACCAGTCTTCTGATTTTTCCGTTAGTTCTTTCTAATACACACAGTAGAACTCAATGGCCCCCAGGCAGCTTTGTTCTGCTTTAAATGACTGCTTGCCCACCTGGAACCCGCTCCCTCTGATTTCTTCTGGTTCCAGTCTTTCATGCAAGGAGCTTTCTCAGCCACCTGGTCACCCCTGGCGGTGACCCCCGCTCCAGAGCCACTAACAGGCCAGGAAGGCCCAGTGTGCGCGTGGGTGGGTTCCCTGGGTGGCGGGCCTCACTGACTCCTGGTCGGGAATGACCAGGCTTTTCCCTGGGACGGTCCCTTAACTATCAGCATCTGTTATGTCCTCCACCAGGAACCATTTGCCTTTCCCAAACAAAGCGCCTCTAATCCCGTGCCTGAGAACACAGGCCCGGAGACGTCCTGTTAGCTGGGTGGGAAGGCGGAGGAGGGAGGGTCGTGCCGTTCCTAAGGTGTCTCCTCTCCGTCCCATCCCATCTGGAGGCTCTTGGTTCAGTTTTTCCAAAAAACACCCCTCTTGTCTTCAGGCAGGGGAGAGGCATTCATAGCAGCCACATGAAGCAGGCGGAGGGCTTGGGTTCTAACTGCTCCTCACGCAGTCTTCCCATCACACTCCCGATGTCCAGCCCAGATCCATCCTGACATTCGCTCTGATCCTGGCCCCTCAGGATGAATCCAGTGATTTCTCAGTGACGCTGACTGCCCCCTGGGTCCCACTGCTCCCTCCCAACAGCCCCAATGTCCAACTCCTCTTTCCTGGTGCTCTCCCACCTCCCTAGCGCTCTTCGTCTCTGTGGCTTTATGCGTTCTGGTTGTTGTTTTTTCCTGTCTTACTCTAATTTCACCGACCCATCCACCGTGTCGCACTGGAAGTCTAGCTGCTAGAATTCTAACTGGCTCAAGTGTAAAATTTCTGAGCATTTGAGGAAAATTACACCAGGCTCTGATGTCCGTAGAATTTGGTAGTTAGGGGTTCCCTCCTTCATGGGCCACTCTGAAGGCTCAGGAAATGCAGGCTCGGTGACGGGGAGGCGCAGTTAACGCAGCTGCTCTGGGGAAGGGACTGAGCGCAGGCCGGTCGGCATCTCCACGCGCGGACGCCCTCCTCTACCTGTCAGACCAGCACTGAATAATTCAAGTGGCTTCTTTCCGGGGAGAGGTCATTAAGGGAAATGGAAGCCCTCCAACGGATCAGATGGTCCGCTTGAGTAATGTAGCTACGAATCAGAAACATCTGACTCCCACAGAAATATAAGGTAGGGAAAAGCCAGAAGCCGTCATCAATATTTCTGTAGTTGCAAGTCTGGGAGTTCTGAGTTCTCGAAATCCTTTGGGCATGCACTCACCAGGTGTCAAGGGTTGGCTGTATTTTTAAGATCTAATGGATACACTCGTCCCCAGTCGAGGCCATTAAGTTTCTCAGTCATTTGGGCCGTGGCTGTGAGGGTGGCTGTTTGTCAGAAAACAAAGGAGGCTCCGAAGCTATTCTTTGGGTTCCTGAGTTTTCCTCCTCCATTATTATAAGTTCAGGGAGACTGTTTTTTGTTTGTTTTTTTAAGTGACCTTCATAAGATGCTATGGTATGGATCATGCCAGACTAGTAAGAGATGGGGCTTAGAGTCCAAGGTTTCAGAATAAATAACTTGAATAATTTCTGAAAGACTGCACACTTCATGTATCATGTGCGTCCGACTTAAAATTCTCATGTTCATAAAATGACTGCATTTTCACTTCCCCGTTTTTCAGAGCGTTTTGGGAACCAGCGTTAAAGCAAGGAGCAGCACTTCCCTCCCTCCGGTACTTGTAGTGAATGAAGAGCTTCTGGGAAGCACTGCTGTCGCGTTAGTGATGAACTTACCCGACTCCAAGCCTCTCATCTTCGAGGTGTCTCTCTCTCCTTTTTCAAAGTAAAACACATATCCTCTTAGGAAGCCTCTGAGCTCCTCCACGGGTATATCTTCCCACTTCACGAGGATCGAATCTGCAGACGTGTCCTCCACGGTGAAATTCGGTGCAACGGTTGGCGCTGGAAAAGGAGACGGTCAACAGCTGAGGGAGAGGTCACTAACGCAGAGGAAGACATCAACGGATAATGTGTTTCCAGCCTCAAAAAGAGCTAAGTTTGCCCTCGCCGGCTTGGCTCAGTGGATAGAGCGTCGGCCTGTGGACTGTGGGTCCCAGGTTCAATTCCCCTCAAGGGCACATGCCTCGGTTGAGGGCTCGATCCCCAGTAGGGGGGCGTGCAGGAGGCAGCTGATCAATGGTTCTTTCTCATCGTTGATGTTTCTCTCTCCCTCTCTCTTCCTCTCTGAAATCAGTAAAAGTATATTTTTTTAAAAAAGAGCTACAATTCAAATGAAAAGCTTATTTCCTATTTAATCATAGACGTTCACAGATATTACTACATACTCTTTGGCTGTGAAGCTAGCAACCAAACATGCAAAGGTAGAACTTGCTACCTAGGGAAGCAACCTACACAAAATCTCTAAGTGGCTACTCAAATAGATTCCATTTGTATTTTCCCCTTTGTTGATGGTCTGGCATAAGTTAATAGCTGTTTAAATCTGTAGAACTACAAATTAAGTATTTTTGAAATAAGATTTTTTTTCAGTGACAATAAATTTGTGAAATACAAACACTAAATGAAGAATAAGTAATCATAATTTAAAATGTATCACACAAATTATTTTTCCTTCCTTGAACTAAACCTCCCAATTTAATCTACTTTTAGAATCCAACTGTTGTCGATTCATGTTACCTTGACCTCTAAGAAAAACATACCCATTTAACTTACCCAATTCTTCTACATATCCAATCACAGAGCGCAGCAACTGGTAGCCGTGGTTTCTGCACCCGTACAGGAAGAAGTGGTACCGCACGCCTGGGCGAAACTGATCTGTAGGAGGGACACAATTGCCATGAATATCTATTTTAGAAATATCAGATGTAAAACAGCTTCCTCTGAAACCGCCGAAGCAAATTTTAAACACACGCTTTCTTATTACAAAAGATATATATCCATATTTTCAAAATTGGTAAATACTCAGAGAGGAAACTGACAAAACAAATTAAATTCACTTTTATTGTAATGAACACTTCAGCATTATAATGTATCACCTTGAAGAGGGGAAAACATGGTGATCGAGGCTTTGATTTTGTTCCTTAAAACAAAATCAGGCAAATCAGGCAATGGCAGGCTGAATCCGCATTGGGTGACCTTGGGCAAGAGACCTAACTCCTCTCCACCCAGTAGGGCCTTGCTCCTCTGCCTCCTGGCTGGAAGGCGCTCCTCCTCACCCCACAGGTGTCAGCCTCACTTCCGTCCAGGCACGGCATCTACGGCGGTGCCTCTCCAAGTCACTCCCCCCCATCCCTCCCGAGCAGCCTCCAGGCCCAGGTGGGCACGATGGAGGACAGCGCAGACACCAGTGTGAGAGGCCCCGGAGCTGCCTGTGGGGGAAAGGCGAGGGGAGGCCCAGGGAAGGGGTGGGTGCAGCCAGCACGCTGCGGGGTGCGGGGAGAAAGGATAACGGAGCCACCATCCCTGCCCTGGCCAATCTGCACCGGGAGCAGCTCGGCTGCCTTCCAAGTAGACCCGGAACCTGATCGGACCCCACAGGCGGTCATCTAACAAAGGCGTCTCATCCCCACCATCTGACAGTGACAGGGAGCGAGGGGGAACAGCCAGCACCGCTTGCTCTCCAACCACACGAGCAGGGGAGGGCCAGCCGCGGGGAAGGGCGGCTCCACCACAGGCTGCCGGTTCCAGGCTCCCTGGGTAGCGACACAGCCCTGGCCGGCTACTCGGAAGGAACAGCGAGGGTGGGAGAGGGCACTCATTCCCAAGGACAAGGTCACCCAGTGCCCCTGGGGCTGGTCCAGGCCGCAGGGCCTCCAGGGCAGCTCACCAGAGGCTCGGTGGGGCTGGTTAGCGGTCAGGGAGCTGGCCCCGCCCATGTGCCCGCTGCCACACCGAGTGCCCTTGATGGACGTCAGGCAAAGTGGTCATGCGGGTGCAGGGCCTTCAGGCTCAGCGTCTCCCTGACCTTGGTACCCGGGCCCTGGGCAAACACGGGCAACGACACTGCGTGCGGCCCCACTCCTCACAGTTCCGTAGCCTCCTCCGTGAGCATCTCCCGTGTTAACCCTTCCACGCACGCTTCAGGGCTGCTCCACTCTCCATTTCATACCAGTGCCAGGACTGGCTCCTTCTCCTACTCACTGTGTTCAATTCAATGTTGATGCCGATAGATAGTGCTGTGGTGAGCATTCTCAGCTGTGAATCTGTGCTGCTCTGTTTCTTAGGATAAACTCCTAGACTAGTCATTCCTAGATCGAGGGATCTGAACCCTTTCACACACACATGCCCCAAAGCACCTTCCAGAACAGCTGCCCAGCCCACGCCTGCCCAGCGGGGAGAGAGACCGGTCCCTGCACTGCACCAGCCGCCCCCGGGCTGCTCTCCCGACCCTGCCCCCGGGGCGCCCTCGGAGCACGCACCCGACTGGATGACGGCCTCGGTGCTGTCGGCGGGGACCTTCTTCCAGTCCATGAGGCAGGGCTGCGGCTGCGATGTGTTGCACCACTTAATGACGTAGTCGCAGGTCATGTTGGGGTCGTAGTTCCACGTGAGGACGATCCCGTTCCCCATTCCCACTGTCTGCTCTACTTTGAGATCATCTTCAACGACAAAGGAGGACATTTTGCTGATGTGACGAATAATAACGTAAGGCAAAACCTCATGAAAGTGGGCAAGAGTTAGAGAAATTATTTCCCTGCAGAGAAATTTTAGAATAGGGCTCCGGCGAGGTAAATCGTTAGTAAAATGTGGGAGTGTGGCTCTGCTATTTTTGTTGTAACTATGGCAGTCACCTGTGCATGCAGATGAACTCAGCAGCTGAAACAAAGGAATGAAAAAGCAGTAGGATCAGGAGGCGAGGAGGTGGGGCCAGGACACGAAGATGGAGGGCCAGGGCCGGGAAGGCTCAGGCAGAGGGAGGAGTGAGGGCGCTGGAGGGGACGGCAGGCCGGACGGGGCAGGGCGCGAGTGGGCAGTCTACGCTGTGCCCTTCCTCTTGTCACCCCTGTGGGTGCGAGCTCTGTGGCAGCCGGGCCGAGCCTGCAACCCCAGCCTGGGCAGAGCACACAGAGCAGGGAGGGAGCGCACAGCAGGAGGCAGGTGTGGCTGCACCAGCCTGTCTCTTCGTTCCTGGGAGACTTCTCCCTCCCCCACATGGACCGCAGGGGTTGTAGGCAGGGAGAGGAGGAGTCTGCTGCAATGGTTTGGGATGAACAGCTGTGGGATGGGATGGCCAGTGTGGACCCAGAGAGGCAGAAACGTAAATTTTCATTCATGAAGCAACCACTCCTGAACACAGGCAACAATCTGCTTAGAATAAAGAAGACTTCGGGCATTAACAGCTTTGGCTCAGTGAGATTAAAGGCCCGCGACATCAGCCTGTGCTGTGCCCGCAGGCCTGCATTCGGGGACCCTTGGGTCAAAGGCTGCTCCCGGAGGTCAGGAGCCAGAGCTGAGGGCCAGGTGCTGTGGGCTCTGTAGGTCACTGTCCTCTGGAGACACATGGAAAAGGTAACAATATCGATCCTGCATTAGAAGGTAACCCAGCTACTGCCCATCATTGAGAGCAACGAAGTACCCAAGTCAGTGGTCATCTGCCTCGGGGCTGTTCACACATCCCTCTCTTTTTTCTGCCGCCACCCTCTCCGGGGCATGGGTGTGTGTGGACAGCCAGGTGTGCACTGACACTGGGCCTGGTGTGTGTGGACAGCCAGGTGTGTACTGACACTGGGCCTGGTGTGTGTGGACAGCCAGGTGTGCACTGACACTGGGCCTGGTGGGTGTGGACAGCCAGGTGAGCACTGACACTGGGCCTGGTGGGTGTGGACAGCCAGGTGTGCACTGACACTGGGCCTGGTGGGTGTGGACAGCCAGGTGAGCACTGACACTGGGCCTGGTGGGTGTGGACAGCCAGGTGTGCACTGACACTGGGCCTGGTGGGTGTGGACAGCCAGGTGTGCACTGACACTGGGCCTGGTGGGTGTGGAGCAGGTGTGCACTGACACTGGGCCTGGTGGGTGTGGAGCAGGTGAGCACTGACACTGGGCCTGGTGGGTGTGGAGCAGGTGTGCACTGACACTGGGCCTGGTGGGTGTGGACAGCCAGGTGTGCACTGACACTGGGCCTGGTGGGTGTGGAGCAGGTGTGCACTGACACTGGGCCTGGTGGGTGTGGAGCAGGTGTGCACTGACACTGGGCCTGGTGGGTGTGGAGCAGGTGTGCACTGACACTGGGCCTGGTGGGTGTGGACAGCCAGGTGTGCACTGACACTGGGCCTGGTGGGTGTGGACAGCCAGGTGTGCACTGACACTGGGCCTGGTGGGTGTGGACAGCCAGGTGTGCACTGACACTGGGCCTGGTGGGTGTGGACAGCCAGGTGTGCACTGACACTGGGCCTGGTGGGTATGGACAGCCATGTGTGCACTGACACTGGGCCTGGTGGGTGTGGAGCAGGTGTGCACTGACACTGGGCCTGGTGGGTGTGGACAGCCAGGTGTGCACTGACACTGGGCCTGGTGGGTGTGGAGCAGGTGTGCACTGACGCTGGACCTGGTTGGTGTTTGTGTCTCTGAAATGTGCTTTGCTCCCCTTTCCCTCCTTCTGATTCCCCTGCGATCCACTCAAACACAGAACCAGTTCAGTAACAAGCGGTAAGACTGCCTCAAGCCAGAAGTGAAAGGGTACTGAGAGGGCCCTGCCTGGACCCATCTGTCTTCCTTCGGGAGTGGGTGGTCAGAGAAGATGCCCCATATTGGGGCAGAACAGCGGGGGTGGGGTGACTCAGAAGAGGAGCTGATTCCAAGCAGAGGTGACGTGGTATATGAACTCCCCACTCGGGAAGCTGCCGAGGTGGCTGAGGAGGAATGGCCCACTCACTGCTAACCATAAAACTTAAAAGGAAGGCATTAAGCAATTTAAAAATTACACCAAATTTTTTATAAGTTTATACTGAAGGTCTGATTTAGATTTATCAATAAGGGATTCCTATTAAAAGAATGTCTTATCAACAAAGCTGCCATTTAAACTGAGTATCTTCTGCTTGGCTGGTGTGGCTCAGTGGTTGAGCTTTGGCCCATGCACCAAGAGGGTTCAACTCCTGGCCAAGGCACATGACCGGGTTTCAAGCACAGTCCCCAGTCGGGGGCATGCAGGAGGCAGCCGACTGATATTTCTTATTAATGGTTCTCTCTCTCCCTCTCCCTTCCTCTCTCTCTGAAAACAATAAAAACATATTTACACTGATTATCTTTTCCTGCCTGACAGGAAATAGCCTAGCTGACATAGAATCAACTCCCGTGGTGTTGGGGAGGTAAATAAAAAACGGTATCTGAATAAACAGTTAAAGCATTTCTTCCGGAGAGTAACACCCACGACTGTACCCCTCCAACATGATGCATTAGAGCAGTGGTCAACAAACTGCGGCTCGCGAGCCACATGCGGCTCTTTGGCCCCTTGAGTGTGGCTCTTCCTAAGCCTTAGGAGTACCCCAATTAAGTTAATAACAATGTACCAACCTATATAGTTTAAGTTTAAAAAATTTGACTCTCAAAAGAAATTTCAATCGTTGTACTGTTGATATTTGGCTCTGTTGACTAATGAGTTTGCCGACCCCTGCGTTAGAGTAACAGGCACAGTAGTTCCTGTCCATCCACAGATGCGTCAAGGTGCGACTCACGACTGGGGTCTCAGTGAGCAGTGTTCCCGTCTGTTCCTCCTCCTATACCAGCAGCAGGACGAGAGCAAGCCACCCCTTCCAAATACTCCGCTCCAGTTTCCGTTCTCGGGCATCACATTCCCTACGCACTCACCGTTCGGAATTTCCATGCTGGCTATTCTGGAAGGCGGCGATGAGCCCACGGAGTTTTTTGCCACCACACTGATGATGTAGTCATGCCTGTCCAGTTGTATTTCTGCCTTGTGTTGAGGGTCAGGGATCTCTGAGAGGGACTGTGTTTTCTCCTCCGACGAACAGGATACGTTATAGAAGAGTATTTTCCCATTAGCTTCATTAACGGGTAAAGGCTATGAAAAACAGAAAAACAATTTATGACAAAGCCTTGAAAAACTGACCATCGAGTCCAACCTGAACACTACACAATCACGACACGATAACGTCAGAAAAGATGATGCTGTTACGAACAGTGTAACATCCACGAAGACCTGGGCAAACCAGGAAGGTGAGACGGAAGGAGAACGACGAGTGCTGTGAGCAGTAGGAGCACACACACAAACCTGTAAAAATTAAGTACATGAAAAACAACATTCAGCCCGGCCACTGTGGCTCAGGGGCTGAGTGTGGACCTATGAACCAGGAGGTCACGGTTCCATTCCTGCTCAGCGCACATGTCTGGGCTGCGGGCTCAGCTCCCAGTAGGGGGCATGCAGGAGGCAGCCGCTCAATGATTCTCTCTCATCACTGATGTTTCTCTCTCTCCCTCTCCCTTCCTCTCTGAAATCAATAAAAATATAATTTAAAAAAACCTATTTAACCTCACATTTTTTCAGAAGCAAACCACAAAGTTCCAAGAAGCACTGCTCTATATGAAATCAAAACATTAACAACCACCACCCACTGGGCTCCCCTCGGACAGCCCAGTGACACATGTTTAGAAACCTCAACATGTCCCAAACAACGTAATTTCCAGCCAAATATGGCAGAACAATTAACCTCGTGGCTGCAGTTAGTCTGAATCACTTCAACATTTTTAATCCTCGGTTAAACAGTCATCTAGTTTGAACAATTTTCCGAACTTCGCCCACAATGGAGTCACTTGGGCAATCACTACCATGACTGTGAGACCTGACAGGCCGCCGCGGGTGGCTAAGGGGACGCAAGTCCCATCCAGACTATCTCAGAGCAACGGGACTTCTATGCTCAGGCCTCACCCCTCAAAGCTGTAGTGATGTCAAGGTTTTGCAAAAACAATCTTGTTCTCCTTTCCACAACAAAATTCACTATTTAAAGGGATCTGGTTATGAAATCTGGTGTAGAAAAACAATTGTTTGTGTTTTTAATGTTCATAAATCAGATAAAAACTATAGCAACAAAAATGTGCGCTCTACTAGGGAAAAACAGTAAAATAGAATGCAATTCGTATTTTATCTAAAATTTTACAAAACTAGTTTACCTGTCATTATTATGACACAATTTATTTAAGGGAAACAAATTACATATAAAATCTATTTTAAAAATTGATTTCCTAGTCATCAAAGAAAAATACAACACAAATAGTCAGGACTCTAGCTTGTCGCGTCTGGCTTTGTTTCTGACTAGAGTGAGAGGGACGGAATCAATGAAACCCTCAGGTCTTTTACAGGCCTCGTAAGGTCACAGCACAGAACGCTGAGATCTGAGACCCTCACTAAAGTGGCGGGGGTGCAGCAGCGAGGAGGAGTCGGGGGCTAGGAGCCCGGCTACGTCCTCAGCTGTTCTGCAGGTCTGAGGAATCCTGCCTGGCTCCCCGACGCCCCGGGACCCTGTGGAAGTCAGGTGGTTTACCATAACCAAGTCACATAAATATTCAAGGGAACACGAGACAGTTACCTTCCAATATATTATTAAATTCTTCCCGTCAGAGCGCCACTCTCTCCAAGTGTCCGGTCCCTTGGAAGGAACTAGGAAAGAGATGGAAAAGTTAGCATGTGAGGATGCTACTACGTCAGCTGATGTCAATAATTGAGATGGTGGTGCTTGAAGTTTGTTTCTAGGCTTCTGGAATTCTCGGTAAGAATGGGAAGTACACTCAGTGGCTTCCACCTGAAAATGAAGAAGGAAATGCTCTCAACCCCGACAAAACACCAGCCCCTTTAGCATGGTAACAACCCCCCTCACGGCTGTCAGCACCGGGTAGAGTTCTCCTCTGTCCAGTCGGCCGTGGCCACACGCTGGCTTCCTGGCTGCTTTCAGACCTGCAGAGGACGCCTGCCCCGGCTCCCTGACTTTCTCGCCCTCCCTTCCCCTGAGAAACCACCAGGCTGGCTCACTCACCCAGGGTCACCTTGTTCCCGAGGTCCCGCCCAGCCACCCTATTTAAGATGGCAACTCCCCTCTCCACCACCCGTCTTCAGTCCTCGGCCCCCTTCCTAGGTTTTATTTTTCCTTGTGGCACTCACTACCACCAGGCATACTAATATACAATAAAAGTAATGATTTCTAAATCTCTACCCTCTAGATCCCCTGGACAGAGATTGCTGTTCTACTGCTGCTCTGTCCTTGGAGACCAGAACAATTCCGGACACACAGGTGGGGGACGCCACAGGTATTTGTCAAGTGATGAATGGCTTCACCTCAATGAAGCATAAACAAAATGCTCCTGCCTTCTGGCTGCAACAGCTCATCAACCGAAGACAAAGCTTTGCCTGTGGGGGCTGCTCCTGCCCTGTGGGTCCCTCCCCTCCCACACCGTATCAGGGCTGGCTGGTGTGACCAACAGGGAACGGCAGCCGTGAAGGTATGTCCCTGCTGCGGCCAGGTCATCAGGAGGTTGTGGAGGCGGCCTTGTTCTCTCGATGACCACTAAGTCCAGGGCAGCCGGCTGCCACCTCGGCGGACACCAGCAGCCCTGTGGGAGGAACGCAGGCTCCTGCCCGCAGCCCTGTGAGAGAACCGCCTGGAGCAGACCCTCTGGCCCCCATCAAGCCCAAGGCCCCCACCCACGGGGTGAGTGGTCTCCGGAGAGATGCTCAGCGAAGCTGCTCCGGAGTCTCTGACCAGGACACTCACTCACTGTGAGACAGGAAATGTTTGCTGCTTTAAAGCAGAGTGCTGTGGGGTAACTGGTCACACAGCAATAGATGCTCTGGACTCATGCATAGGATTCGATTCTGAGGATCCAAGCGAGTCTTACACACACCGCAAAGCCCCTCTCCTCTCCCAGCCTTCGTGTGGAGACACAACATCTGATGAACAGCCATCACTTTTTGTTTTACTGTTTGTCCAATTTGGGAGGAGGAGTTTTATACTCCCTCTATTACAAAATGCAAATAAAGAATGTGCTATCTTTTGATGCATGATTCCTGAAAACCACACCTATTTCTATTTTCTGTTTTAAAGCCAGCAACTGGGGTTCAGGGGTTGAATCTTATTCTGTCTTTGGGGATCATAGTCAGAAAACCAGTTACCTGACTACATAGCTTATGCTGCTCTAGGTGTAGCTGTGGAAACTAAAGTTGGAGACCTTAGCCCCAGCCATTTCTCAGGCCTAGGTCAGCAATAAAAATTCCAACGAATTCTCTCCATTAACACTTGTTTTTACTAAAAAAGGCAATCTAGATCACGAACAGGAGGAAAGTGTGTGAGAAGAATCTCGGCACGATATCCCCACGGTTCCATCACTCTAACATAGACATGACTTGCAGGGAGGGTAGCCTGGTCCTTGCACACAGCACATGCCCAGCATTTCCCTTATCATCACGAAACCTTAAAGACCATCATTCAAAATGTCTGTATAATATGTTACCAGCAGGTGTTATATAATTACACAATCTGGCTACCCACTCTCCTGTTTTCAGTCACTTTGGTGACATTTTTCTCTAAAAGCAGTTGTAGCATGTCAGGGACCATAGTAATAATTAACCATAAATCATTCTGTTAACTTACTGGCTTCTGTGGTTAAATATTGTTTTTCATTGCTCCACTTGCTCCATTTCCAGAAAGTTTCACTAGAACAACGAATCCGAAAAGCATACACGGTGTATGGACTTAACTTGTCCACAGCAATGAGGTAATTTGAATTGTCTACTCCTTTGACTGTGACAGTCCGCTATTAGAAAACAAACAATAGGTGCACATGAAATATCACCTGTGTATGAATACATATACATATACATATACACACACACACACACACACGTACACATACTTTTTAAAAATAAGAAAGCCTCCCTTATTTGTAACCAATTGACTGAACAGCCACATGAGTTTGCCTCTCTCAGATTATCCCCTACCATATTTTAATTCTTACATAAATGCCAAATCAGTGAAATTAAGCTCTGCAATAGCAATAAACAAAACGAAGGTGTCTTGTATCCAAATATTGAATCTAATGAATAATGGTCAGTTAAATTATGCAGAGAGGAGAACATAAGTTTGGTAAATCAACGGCTAGTGGTGATGCAGTAAACCTTAATATACTTGGGTGATTTAAGGTGACATTGAGGGTTGCACATGTCATTTAGGTGTATTTGGGAGCTTCTGGAAGCATGCTTCCGCTTAGCCCTGCTTTTCAATATGGCACTTAGCACCTCTAGTCTGGTGCTTAACCTGCAGACTATTCAACAAATATTTAAACTAAATAAAATTAAAAGGAAGCCATCCAAAACAAATTCGAGGATCTGCACACCCCGGGGAAGCCTGGGATCTCCCGGTTACTTACTCCAAAGGAGCTTTCAGAGTTACAGCTTGCAGTGCAACTGAAGACAGTCTAGAGATCATTAGTAAGTTTCCAAATGAATTTTTAAGTATGATATCATTTATTTTGGACGTTACCACCAATTACAAGGTGGTGCCGTATAAAAGTCAACCTGAGTATTTAAAATGTATTAAGAAGTCATGTTGAGCCTTATAATAACCGATTATAACTTGCTCCTGCAGCTGCACTTAGCGGTTTTAAAATCACATCTTCTCTCCGGTGCCAATTAGTCCATTATCTGATGCTAAAGGTTACAGCAGAAACCACTCGCTAATTCACAAATTTGTTGAGCACCAGCTACACGCCAGGTGCTACACTAGACCCAGAAACAGTCTGAGTAAAAGTCAAACTTATGCTCCGTAGTAGCCAGTATTATAGTTGTTTCCAAGTGCCACACACAATGCTGTCATTACACTCAGACATAATATCGTGGTTCTTAGTAAATCTCTGTAATCAATACTCAGAGCTTATGCATATAAACTTACTTAGTTATTTTTGAAAACGAAGTATCTTATCAATAGTAACCTCTAAGGAAGTTTGCAGGAGAATCTTACTCACCAATTCCCGTACTGAATTAGCTTTGTTAATTTCCACTTGACATAACAGTTTAATCTTTGCAAAGTTGCCTGGTAAATGCCAGGAAAGTGTGACAGCTGTTGAATTAATATCCTTCACTCTGACTGAGGTAGGAGTACGAGGGTAAACTGTAAATACAATTTTTAAAGATGAATGACTTTAACAGCTATTTTCTAACATGACAGATGAGAATCAAGGACAATAAAGACCAAGAGAGGTACTGTTAGTGCCGATCAACAACATTCTGCTCAGTGTTTGTGAAATACGCAAACCTCGCTGCTTCACTGCCGACCACGTGCCAACGTTTTTTAAGAACCGACCTCACTCAGGTTCCTGAACTGGTGTCAGGAATACTAAACGGTGGTCAGAGCACCGTCTCTACCTGCAAGGAACCCCTGACTTACGTGGGGGACGGGGGGGGAGGGCACAGGGACGACAAACCAAAAGAAAGAAAATGAGCAAGAGAACAGATGCTAAATTCTAAATGTGGGGCACACACATTAAGCACCACAGGAATTTAGACATAAACGTGGTCAGGGGAATCCTACAGTGAAGACGGGACTGGGGGTGAGCCTGGAAAGAAGAATCAGACTAAAGCTGGCAAAACGAACGCAGGAAAGCATTTCAGGTCGGGGTCCTGGCACAGCGGAGCAAAGTGCGTGCCGCGCTGGTGACCACGCACGCCCCGGTCTGATGGTGGGGAAGAATCATGTGGTGAATAAGGCTGAAAGGGCAGAGGGCAGACAACTGCACACAAACGCTGTCAAGTACAAAATGTAGCCATCGCGTCCTTAGGTAAAATAAGGAAATAAGAAAGATGCTGGGAGGAAATAGTTGACGAAGGTGATTTACATGTAACAAACAAGGCAGCAGGACCACGGCCCATCACTGGCCAGGCTGTACCAGAGGGCGTCGGGTTTAAGCCCTTCTCCGCGTCTGTTAATCTCTGTGCTGCAGAGCCCGGCACGGCTGGTGCGCATGGAATGACCATGGGGATGAAGGCCGAAGTGCTGGGCCATACTTTATCTCTATTTTAAGCTACAGATTCATAGGATTGGCAAAAATTTAAGAAGTCATCAGCAGTGAAAAGGAGTGAACTATTTACGGACCCATACACCTTGGATGGATCTCAAGGATATTACCCTTAGTAAAAAACGCCAACCTCCACAGGTTACATGCGGCACGGTTCCACTCACATGACACTCTCAAAATGACCACACAACGGAGATGAAGAGCAGATCGGCTGCTGCCCAGGGACAGGGATGTGAAAGCGTGTGTGTGTGGATGAGGGTAGTGTTAAAGGGACAGCATGAGGAAGTGCCTTCATGGTGACAGCAGTCTTGACTGTGTTGGGTCCATGAATCTAAACATAAACCCAATCACATGGACCTTCACACATATACGTACACCACACACACACACACACTTGAATGCGTATAAAAACTGGTGAAAACTGGGGCTGGGTAAGGTCGGTAGTGTGGTTCGCAGTACTGTTCCGAGGTCAGTTGCCTCGTTTGGATCTTGTACTACAGTAACATCAGGGGTTACCACTGGGGAAAGCCAGGGCTCTAATTTATTATTTTCTGCAACCACTTACCATTATTTCAAAACAAAAAGTCTTTAAAAATTGGGCAATTTTTTTTTCCAGAAATCAAAAACTATTAGATAATGCTACTGACAGTTTCTATGTAAATGAAATGACCTTCAAAATTTTACCTGGATTCAACAAAACGGTGAAACTTGAAATTACACATTTTAAAGCTTTTAAAATGACATTTACAAGATTAATACTAAGTAATTGTACAGAAAATAATCAGTAAAAAGTAATCCCTAGACAGACCTTTCAGTGATCTCAAGACATTTTGCCACTTCTAAGTTATTGTAAGACACTGGTTTGTGTAGCAGCTTACCTTTTTCGGTCACATTGATGAAAATCGTTGATTCTGATTGACCCAGAGGATTGCGAGCATTCAAAGTAAAATTATATATTTCTTGGTTTGGAAGCACTTGAAAGAGTAACTGATAGCTTTCATTAATGGGCGCTTCAACTCTTTTAAATTTAACAGATTCTCCAGAAAAACTGAAAATTAAGAGCGGAATAAGAAATATTAAAATAATATCAAGACCTGGCCTGGTAGCTCAGTTGGTTGGAGCACCATCCCAAAACACCAAGGTGGCGGGTTCGATCTCCAGTCAGGGCACATACAAGATCAACCAGTGAATGCACAAATAAGTGGAACAATAAATCCATGTTTCTCTCTTTCTCCACCCCCCCACTCTCTAAAATCAATCAATAATTTTTTTTTAAATACCAAAATGGCAAGAGATAAACGGTGCAGGAAAAAACGAATGGGTAAATGTCTAACAATTAACGTTTTCCAAGTATTTCTATTTCTAATTATAGATGTACTACATCCTCAGAGAAGAAAGTGTATACGATAAGTAAATAGAAGAAAATAATCAGCCGTAAGCCCGCTATCGAGAAACAGTCTTCGCTCCTATTTGAGGCTTCTTCCTTCCGGGCTTTGTGAAAAAGGAGACAAATCCAGCCTGCACGCATTGAGTTGCAGTATATCCCATTTTATACTACATATCTGGCTTTCTATCTTGCTCATAATATAAAAGAGATAGAGCACTTCGCTGTATCATGTGACATCATTCTAATGGACTCCATGCTGCTTAAGTCTGGCGTCTTTTCCTGGTGACGCTTACCTTTCAAACAAAGTGTAACTTGTACTGCGTGGGCCCACCAAAGCCGTCGGCCTTCCTGGGTCCCACGTACAGATAATCTCTTTTAAGTCATAAGTCTCACAGTTCAGCTTTTGAGGAATATCAGGTGGATCTGAAAGGAAAAAGAAAAAAGATGTACTTATTTTAACATCTATGCCCCCGAAAATGTTCTGTTTCATATATGTTAATTATATTTTGTACCATTTCTTTAAAATGAGATAATGTACTGTTCATATTTTACTTTTTGAACAATGCAGGAATTACTGTTCTTTCCATAGCATGTTTGTTCGGAGTTCATATTACATAAGAAATGACAGATTAAATTATACTGAAGAGTGACTACTAGTATTAGCTCATCTGAAAATTCCTCAATAGCAATTTGAAGATAGCGACTATATTTTCTCCCCTTAAATACTATTTGAGTCTATAAAATCTCTCAAAGGAAGGTGTGTCCAATAAGTTAAGTCAGAAAAATCTACAGGTTAAACATATTATTATGGATCATATATATGGCTTGAAAAGAAGTACCAAGTCATATTAAAAGTCAACCTAAGTCATGTTACAAGTTTCGAGTTCTTAAGTAAGTCCCAAGGACTATTATCTACAAAGTAACTCTCAGTAAAATTCTGCATCTCCCTATGTTGACAGTGAATTCTGCTCTTCTGTCATTTTCATTCTTTATTGAAACCATTCTCTCTGGCTTTGTTCAGGAAGGACCAGAAAAAGAAAAAAGGTGTTGTTTTTTTGGGGGGGTTTTTTTTAAGTGTGTTTAAGACTTTTAAAGTGATAAGGGAAAAATTCTACAGTCTGACAATGATTATAGAAATTGATATTTCTGTGATGTTTAACCGAAAACATAGGGTGTCCCAAAACTTTATCCAAACTATCTGCCACTGAAGGTAAGCTTTTTAAAAAAACAATTATCTACTTACTAAAAAATTATGTAAAATAATCTTATTTTAAAACAACTAACTGTTCAAAAGTTCTTAGTTTATCAACCAAGACTTAGCAGATTTCACATACCTGCTCCAGAGATAAGAACAATGTCCTACAGGGATGCTTTAGGTAATGCCAGGAGTGATGGGTATTTATATCAAAGTCTAACAAATGGATAATGAAACTAATACTGACATATTTGGTTTGAAATTTGTTTTAAATCTAAGGCAAAACTTCAGTCACTTTATTAAAATGACAGCACATTTTTTAGTATATTTTAAATGCTTATTATTTTAGTATTTGGCAGACATATTAAGTTGAAATACTTCAAGTCCAAATAACAGGCGCAAAGTAGAAAGAAGTGGAAGCAAAGAGAGAAAGAGAAAAAAATGTCAGAGGGCAGTATTTACAAGTTAATGTATGGCTTTTCTTTTCCTTTCAAAGACATTAACTTACAAAAGAATCAACTGAAGCTAGGCAAACTAGGTATAAATCAATTGTATTTCTATGTACCAGCACATAACAATTTAAAAATCAAAGCCATTTTTATGAAAATATTTTCAAATGACAAAGTATTAATTTGACATGTGATATTAATATTTACATGTTCCAATCCCATGCCACAGTGTATTATTTTAAAACATCTTAAGTATGATGAAAGATTAACTCTTAGGTCAATATTTAATGCTGAAGTAGCTCCGGCGATAAAAATGACTCATATGAATGATTACTGAACAAATAATGTTCACAGATCTGTTTTGCTTATGATTAAATTAGCTCATACATGAACACGGACAAGTATTGGCAAATAACTATTCTCCTGTCTGTGAAATGATAAATTTATTTTCAATTACAAGAATAAGCTTGAGAAGTAAAAAAAAAAAAAAAAAGCCATTTTTAATTGGCATAAACATAGGAGTAAATTTACTAAAAGATATACAAGACCTCTTACCACCAAGATAAATTAAAGAAGACCTAACTAAATGGAGGGCTATACCATGGTTTTGGTTTGAATGACTCAATACTGTGAGAAAGAAAATTTTCCTAAGTTGATAGATTTAATGTAATCCAAGTCAAAATATTGGCTGGTTTTTATTACAAATGTGTGTGTAGAGGGGGAAGCTGGCAAACTGATTCTAAAATTCTTTCCAGTCTTTTCAATAAATTGTGGGTTAACAGGATGCCCACAGGAGAAAAAAAACAAACAAAACTCCCTTCCTCACACCATAGACTGCCCTGGCTGTAAGTTTCTAAAGAGCTCGCTTCAGAGGAAAGTCTATAGCTGCTTCTGAGCTCACAAACAGCGAGTGGTATTTCCACCGACAGATGCTACCAGCGAAGGTTCGATTAGGAAATAAATGGGTTTGTTCTAGGACTCTGGTAAAAGATTAGAACACTAAAATAATAACACCTGTGAATATTCTCATCCTTTAAGTTTTAACTTTTTTCTTTCATGTTTGTAAGTGGATATCTCACTTTTTGGTAGCGGCTAGTGGGCAGCTTCCCACCGTATACCACTGCTTCTCAACTTAGACTGCACGTCATATCCTAAAATACCATCAGGAAAGAAAATCTAATTTTCTGAAACTTAAATTTGAACATAACCTCACCCTCACTTGAATTCCAGTGCATTACTGGGGAGGCCAAAAGAGAGTAAGGTTACGGCCAGCAAGCTGAGACGTGCACCTAATCCTGCTTCTTCCCTTGGAAGTGGATCAGCAACTGAAGGTAACTCATCCTAAGTGTCTATGGACGTGAGACAGAGATGGAGGGCTGCTGACCTGGAGCACAGCCGAGAATCAGAAGAAAGTGTAAGAGCCTGGCAGGTGTGGCTCAGTGGTTGAGCATCAACCTATGAACTAGGAGGTCAAGATTCAATTCCCAATCAAAACACATGCCTGGATTGCAGGCTCGATCCCCAGTGTGGGGTGAACAGGAGGCAGCCTATCAATGATTCTCTCCTTCCCTCTCCCTTCCTCTGTGAAATCAATAAAAATATATCTCATATAATAAAAGTCTCATATGCAAATAAACTGAATGGTGGAATGACTGGTGGAACAACCAGTCGCTATGACGCACACTGATCACCAACGCAGATACTCAACATAGGAGTTGCCCCCAGCCCACAGACCCCAGGCCGACCAAGGTGGGTGCCAGCAGGGGCCCCCCCAGTCTCCCTGCCAATTGCCCCATGGATCAGCCCTGATCTCCAGCCAGGCCTAGCATGAATTCCATGCACTGGACCTCTAGTTTTTTTTTTTATAAAAGCATAAGAAAATCACAAAGCAATCGAAACCCACTCACTACATTTCACACACTTCATTTCAGGAGACCCTTAGACCACTCGCAGAGCCTTTGAATGAAGAATGCGGGAAGTGGGGGGAGCAGAGTCCCTGCTGGAGACAAAGCTATCTCTGCACCAGCCCAGAGTGACCTCAGGGGAGGGGACCAAGAACTCATAACAACCTTATCTGTGCACATTCAACACAACCCATATAGATCTGGCAACCCCACAGCGACTTCTGGATTGCCCTGGAGATTAGATCTGCAGGAATGGAGTACACAAATAGAGAGATGCCCTGCACTCTGGGACACAGGACACACAACACAACAGGGAGGACGTCTTCTCACCCATGTCTCCAACTGCCCTCTTCTCAAATATATTCTTCTTAAAGTGGGTGAAACAAATATCATGCTATTGAAAGATTTTGCATAAAATCATTACAATTTCTTTAATTTGGGAGCTTATTTTCAAAAGGTATGCTATAATAAGGTGGAAAATTAACTCATCTACACTAATAATAGACAAATATGTAAATTGACTGTCCCTTCACAATGCTCCACGGCCAATCAGGAGTGAGTATGCAAATTAACCCAACAAAGATGGCGGGCCTGTAGGCAGCGAGCACGTGCGCAGGTGCCAAGCGGCCAGGGGGTGGGCGGGAAACCTGCCGCATCACCATGGCAATGTGGAGGGCATCCCCACCCCCCTGGCCGTTCTGGGCCTACGCACGCAGTCACCGAGCAGCCTGGGTCCCAGGGATGCCACTGGAGTGTCTGGCCCTGTCAGCCCGGCCTGGGGGCGGCTGAAGTTCCCAGTCCTTTTCCTTTCTGCAGCCCCTGGACTGGAAGTGAAAACCAAGAGCACAGGGAGCGCCAGGAATTCTGGGAATTGTAGTTATGGTGGCAGCCCCTGGACCAGAAGCTGAAGCCCAGAGCGTGGGGAGCACCAGGAATGCTGGGAATCGTAGTTCTGGTGGCAGACGGATTTCCTAGACACTAGAGCAAAGTGAGCCTGGAGCAAGTTACTGTTGCGGGTGGAGGATGGTGGGAAAGCAAAGGTTAGAGACATAAGTAAAGTCAGAGTGTCGAGGAAAAATTAAAAGGAAGATATCCTGCAACTTCTAGGAAATCTCCACCAATGGAGCAAAGAAAAAAAAAAGACCTCTACTATTGTGAGCACAAAACCAAACTGGGTTGGGGTCTCAGACAATTTGCTCATATGACTGCAAAGACAGACAGAAACTCCCGGATTGGAGAGGGCTCCCCTGAGGGCTCCCAGATTGAAGAGGGTGCAAGTCGGGCTGAGGGACCCATCCCCCGTGCACGAATCTTCCTGCACCAGGCCCCTAGTATGAAATCTTAAAGGATTCAGAAATTATATACTAACTTCTCTTGACTCGGCGAACCTGTTAACTGAGAATTTAAAATAAAATTCTTATTACGAAACCTACAAGATATATAAATACACGTATGTAGAGAACAAGCTTAGATCTCACCTGTAAACAAGTAAAATCTGCTGCCTTTTATATCATTTATATTAAAGAATAAAAAAATAAATAAGAAATACAATCACCTCAGGCCCCCCGAAAAAGCATTAAGGCTTTCAAAGGGCAAAAACTGATTAATAGAAACAGTTTTAAAAAATACATATTTTATACTTACATCCTGCAAAAATAACTGTTCCATACATGTCTTTGTTTGTCATGAAAACCACATTTGTTCCACTACTTATAGAAGCAGAAATGTTATGGACCTTGATCGCCACATTTTCCCCATCGAGATGAATAAGGGGATACTTTGCGTAGCTGATCTGTGCTGATGACACTTCTTCTTGAGTCACAAAACAGAATGTTACATCTGAGCCCACAGGTACCACTTTGTCTTGAGGAAAAACCTTATTCTGAATATCAGTAGACCCTAGAAAGATCAAAAGGAATTACAGAGACTTTAGAAGTCTTTTACCATGACGCAGACCAGTGCATACGGAACACACTTTGGCAGCTTTATGATAACGGTGGCCCGAAGATCAGGGATGTCCTCCAGGTTACAGAGGAACAAGGCATATACAAGAAGTAAAATATGCGTGGTTTTATCTACATATGGTGGAGCGATGGTGGGAACGGAGGGGGTTGTAGGTCAATGTCTAAGGTCATAGGTTCATGTCCAAGAAGTTCTAAAAGTCTGATAAATGGGTTTACGAGTATATCCACATGTGAAAAGTCAACACCAAGCACAAGTCAGTCTTAACTCCCTTCCTGTGAATGGATCTATGTATTTAGGGCAGGCTTGCTACTGTCCATCACCCTGAATATACGCTGGAATACTCCTTCTTCTAAACAGCACTTTTCCTCTAATCCCAACTCTGTGCAGCTTAAAGCCACACCTCTGGTTTTTATTCCCCTGAACAGCCATTCTTTTAAATTACCTCTAGTCTCCGTTCTACCTACTTACTCTTTCCCAGGCGGCAACGTGGCTCTACCCCAACCACTCCACGCGGAAGTGGCCGGCTGGCCGAACTGCTCCGTCCCTGGCCACTTCTGAGCGATCTTCCCCTTCGATGTCCACAGCATCTGGTAGCTGCCCAATGTCCTCCTTCTCGAAACTCCCTTCGCTCGTGGGTTCCCTGGCTGTCCCCTCCTGCGCTACCCTTCACCCCTGGCGGCTGTTTGCTTTGCTGGTCTCTCTCTTCCATCCTCATAAAGCTTCTAAGGGCTGGGTCCTTGGTCTCCATTCCCCTTTCCCTGAGCTACAGGAACCTCCGGGATTTAAACATTTTTCACACCACATATCTGCTGCTGATTTTCAAATATGTTATCTCCAGCTCCAACCAATCACCCGGGTGGCCTACCTGTATTTCCAGCTGCCTAGAAGACACTGCTTTCCAGACACTTCCTATGTCCCTCGAGCTCAATGTATGAAAAATGAAGTGGATCTTTCCTACCTGATGCATTCATCTATTTTGTCTCAGTGGAAAGCAGCCCCAGCTACCCAGCTGCCCAAACTAACCATCATCTTTGGCTCTACTGCTCCCTGAGGAAACGCACCGTCCCCGATTCTCCTTCTGTCTCCTCAGTGTTTGCACACCTCCCCCCTCGTCCGTTCCAACCCCGGGGATCTAGTCACGCCTTCACTGTCCTCAACTGCAAAAAATTCTCCTTATTTATCCACCTGCTCCAGTCCTGCCTTCCTCGGATCCGTTTCTCCAGACTGTCACTAAGGTGAAGAATCTACGATGAGGCACAGTCTTTTTAAGAACGTCGTTTTAGTGCCAATAATTTGCTGGGCCTCTCCCGTCCTGCCAGCATTCTGCCTGCATAGGAGTCTTACTCAATGTGCTGGTGATTTGGGGCATATTTGCCGATTCCCATGTCTCTGCAAAAACTGTTACCCCGAGGGGTCTGCTCTGTGGATGAGAAATTCGGAGCCTTTTTTAAAAATACAGGCTTGATCTCATTACCACCTGCACACAAATTTTAGATGGTCTTCAATGTCTACCACAGTGATTTTCAAACCTGGATGTTTTTCAAATCACTCAGAGAGTTCTTTAAAAATACAGATTCCTCAGGCCTATCTCAGACTTTCTGAATCAAAACACACTGGGATGGGGGGCCTGGAAGATCCCTAAGTGACCCTCATGCAGACGAATGGGGGTCCGAGAAGTGAAAGCTTCAACTGCATCTCCCCCTGAAACAAGGGTCATCGCATCCACGGGAAACGAAGGTTCTTTAAACGTCAGCTTACAGGAAATGCTCTGCAGGGGGCTCCAGTCGCTCCACTCTTTGCGGCCAGAGAAGCGCGCGTCGTCGACGTAGCGCCGCAGGCCCACGGAGTGCGTGGCACACTCCAGGGGCAGGTCCGAGGCCCAGCTCCAGCGGAGGACTGTGTCCTCCCCGTTCAGGGTTGTGTTGTAGGTCTCCTGCAAAATGAACACCAACGCAACACTCTACTCCCCCGTAGGGATACGTTCTGCTCTCCTTCGGGATCGACAAACACCACGGACTGTATATTACCACCAGCTAAGTAAGCCAAAGGTTTGTTTGTCCTTTTATTTGTATTTATTTTTTTATCCTCACTGGAGGATATTTTTTTCCATTGATTTTCAGAGAGAGTGGAAAAGAGAGGGAAAGACAGAGAGGAATATCGATGTGAGAGAAACATTATCGATTGGTTGCCTCCTGGACAAGCCCCAACCAGGGCCTGGGCCTGGGAGGAGCCGGCAACCGTGTTATGTGCCCTTGACGGAAATAAAACCCGGGACCCTTCAGTCCGCAGGCCAACGCTCCATACACTGAGCCAAACCGGCTAGGGCTTGCTTGTCCTTTTAAAAAATGATCTGTTCCCTACAAGGTAAATAGGATAGTGACAGTAACAATAATCAGGACTCATTTATGTTTACTTCTTCAAAGTATTTCCTTTTCTCTTGCTTCCTGAAATCTCTCGATAGCAAGAGGACAGATGTTTTTTAAGGTGTAAATGCACAAGGGCCAAGAACAGAAGATGCTGGAGGGCAGATGCACAACAGTAACCGACTCATGTCGGTGTTTCTCTCTCCCTCTGTCTCTCTCCCTCCTTTCCACTCTCTCTAAAAATCAGTGGAGCCCTAGTCGGTTTGGCTCAGTGGGGAAAATATCCTCATGTGAGGATTAACAACAACAACAAAAAGTAATGTTAAGATTTTTGCCTAAAATAATAACATTAATAATGACATAGCCCATCCTAATTACCTATAATGAGCCCCAGTCAACAAGCCTCATTTAGGCAAACAAAAATTCCAATTAGATTTTTCTTATTTTTTAAAGGGCCACTCACTTAAATATGAGCAGCAACCAGGATGATCAGAAAGTGGAGAAAAAGTTCTAAAAGTCAAAGGTCAAAATAATGAAAAAAGGAACTTGAAGAAACATTGCACAGAAAGGAAAAGAAATTTAAATCACTCATACCCTCCTTCAGAAATAGAATATTGCAAGAACAGGATACATGTTTTTTAAAAGAATGGAGCTTAACAAAAAAGGGATAGCCAGGTTAGCTCAATGGATAGAGCGTAGGTATGCAAACTGAAGGGTCCCGGGTTCGATTCCAGTCAAGGGCGTACACCTCGGTTGCAGGCTCTTCCCTGCATGGGCCTTGCTGAGGGCCCATGCAGGAGGCAACCAATCTATGTGTTTCTCTCATTTTGATATTTCTCTCAGTCTTTCCCTTTCTCTTCCATTTTCTCTAAAGATCAATGGAAAAACATCCTTGGGTGAGGATTAAAAAAATAATAATAGCCTAAACCGGTTTGGCTCAGTGGATAGAGCGTCGGCCTGCGGACTGAAAGGTCCCAGGTTCAATTCCGGTCAAGGGCATGTACCTGGGTTGTGGGCACATCCCCAGTAGGAGATGTGCAGGAGGCAGCTGATCGATGTTTCTCTCTCATCGATGTTTCTAACTCTCCATCTCTCTCCCTTCCTCTCTGTAAAAAATCAATAAAATATATTTTAAAAACAACAACAACAACAAAATAAAAATAATAAAAGAAAAAGGTAAAAGGAATCCAGTGGTCGATCTTGGAGACCCTTGGACTATAGCTTCCTAACGAATATGCCAAAAGACACTGAGGTTTGTCTTGAATGGGTGATGGGTACATCTAGGTTTGAATCTGCAAACTTAGAAGATCCTCAGAGAGATTTCTTCACAAATATATAACTGATAGAATACTAGTATGCTTGAGTATTTTAACGAGATTTACACACTCTGGAGAGAACTTAGGATTGAATTACTGAAGTAGATAAATGAAACTAAAAATACAAGGTAAGAAATTTTACCCCCCTCCCCCCCTCCCCCACCCCCAAAAAGAAAAAGAATTGTATACACTACTTGGTTGAGCTGTAAATAGTGTTTCTATAACTATAATACAAACAATAAATACCGGTCTATAGAAAATTATAACAGAACAATACTGGGAAAAGATAGAAACTGTGTGTGTGTGTGTGTGTGTGTGTGAGAGAGAGAGAGAGAGAGAGAGAGGGAGGGAGATAAGGGAGCATGAAAGCAAGCACACAGTATGTGAGGTGACAGGGGACTAAATTCCCATCTTCCATTGTTCAGAGTTAATGAAACATTGCTCACAACTGGAAAAACAAGGAAGAGAGAAATGGGAGTAGCAAAGGTGGTGCGTGACCTACGGGTGATCGATCCCCGGTAGGTCATACCCTGGCCTGTGCTACGCCTGGCTTCCACGGCCGTACGGGAGGTGGTGGGCAGAAACTGTCAACTTATAAATGAAAACACTATGAATAAACTTATAAGCTAAACATTAATATATAGTGTTCTTGATCTTTACAGTATTGTAAAATAATTGCATTATAACCTGTCACAAAATGACTGATAATAAGCAATTCTAACAAATTCTGATATTAATAATGCATAATTATAAATAAAAATGTGACTTTTATGGACCTGGCTCATTTACCCTCTTCTATTTCACTTTTTAAAATGAACTTGTTCGATCTCTATTTTCTTACCTCTTGCTGTGTCTCCCATACAAAGATTTTTCTTCAAAGATCATATGTACTCTCAAAAGTAGAGAATTACTACCTTGCCTTTGCAGTCTTGTTATGAATGAGTCATGTAACTTTAGAATATTTCTATTCATTCATGTTTGATTTCACTCATACTTCAAAGAGATTCCCTATTCTTCTAGCAACCCTACATTAGTTTTTAAAAAATCTACCCCACAAAGGAAGTAATAACAGCTAATAATTGTTTAGCAGCTTTATAAATATCATATCATTAACTAAAGCAAATATTAGCACCACTTTACAGATGAGAAAAAGAGGGTTTCGAGAAGTTACCCTAAGCCAGGAAGTAGGAACCCAGAATACAAAATCTTAAGCCATAATAAAAAAGCTGCTCAATATAATTTTAAATAAGTAATAACTTTGAGACAACAGGGTAGAGCTATATCACCTCTAGCTGTAAATTACACTGACAGGCAAGAATTGCCATCAAAATTCAAGAAAAGCAAGAACATCTTAGGCTGAAGTAATTAGGATGGGCTTTACAATAAGGAGTAGGATTTTACATGAGTCTTGAAACCTAGGTTCAGTTTGGATGGGTGAAAAGGAAGGGAGGGCATCATAGATGAAAAATTATATCCTTGTCATGTACAATAATCGCAATGGCCGGGCAGACCCTGGCCCCAGACTGCCTGGGTTCGAGTCCTGGCCCCCCACTTTGTGTTTCTCCGGGGCTCTGTCGCCCCAGCTGTGAAATGGGGCCGACGCTAGCAGTGCCTCTCACATGGGCCTGTTGTGTGGACGCAAAGGATTAACGTGTGCACAGCTCTGACAACAGCGTCGGGAACTCTGGAGGCAGGAGATACCTGCTAACAAGGGCGACTGCTATAGTTTCAGGAATGTAATACTTGGATTGTCAAAAAGGAAAAATAAGGTAACTTTAAACAGGATATCCTATTTATCTTTACTATTTCATCTATGTACTTAGGCAAAGAAATTGTAAAATCATGAGATACTGTCTAGTTCTTCAATCTATAACTAAGCGCATTTCAAACCCATGGGGGAAGGAGAGTAAAAGGATAGGAGGAGGATCACCACGTTACCAGCTGTCAAAACTTCTCACTACTGTTTCTCACTAGCCCCTAGATTAAGAGCAAACTGAAGACAGATCACAAGGAAACCCATTAAAATTGGATTTAAAAAAAATAACAGGGAAAAAGCATTAGTACTAAATATAAGAATCAGATTAAGATATCTTCAAACTTACAGATTTATACAAAATTTCTCAATTACTATGGCTAAATATGTTTCAAAACATTTCTTTTTATGTTGATAATATTAGACAAAGATAAAATAATAGACTTAATTATATGCACACTTTTATTTTATTTATGTAAAAACATGCATATAAAACAGGCTAGACTGGAATACACGGAGGCAATGTTTACTGTGCCCAAGTGGTAAAATCATGGATTGTTCCTCCCTTAATTTCCTTTTTATAATGGCTGCACATAATTTTAATCATTGAGTGACTAGTGGGGGGTTTTCTGTGTTGTTGTTTTTTCATTGATTTTTAGAGAGGGAGGGAGGGAGAGGAAGAGAGAGACAGAAACATCGATGAGAGAGAAGCATCCATCGGCTGCCTCCTGCATGTCCCCTACTGGGGGACTGAGCCTACAATCTGGGCATGTGCCCTGACCGGGAATCAAACCAGCAACCTCTTGGCTCATGGGCTGACTGAGCCACACCGGCTGGGCATGAGTGATTAGTTTTTAATGAACCCTGAAAGGATATCTGATCTACTTCCCTAATAATCCAAAGGTTCACTGATGCCACCTGAAAAGCCATTTTAAAAAGCATTCAGCTTCTTTAATGCCATAGGAAAAAAATCTACTCGGTTCAGACTTACTAATTTTACGAGTTCCATATTCTCTTTCCGTAGGACTTTAATTTCCCAAATGACATTTGTGTGACGGGGAAAAGCAGAGCCCTTGTCACTCCACTCCAGGTGCAACGTAGAAGTTGAGAAATTGGCAGACAAACGCAGGATCTCCGGAGGGTCTGGAATGAGGGCTTAAAAAAGGAGATAATACTTAGTAAAATAGGTAATGATTTCTCATATTGTACTTCTATTAGTCAACTCATCTTAAACTCTATTCCTTCCTGATAAAAATACTCAAGAATGAGAAGGAAACTCTTCAACCTATTCCCGAAAAAAAGAGAGTATATGTATTTATTTATATAAGCGGCTCCCAGTGACTCATTGGCCAAATCTGAGAAAATGATTTATCAGCGGCTGTTTCAAATCCCGAATGTCTCTTGGAGTGTCCCCTGGTCTGGGACCTACAGTAGGTCAGTCACATCGGAGAGCAGTAAAAGAACTTCAGTACGGCTGTAGGTCAGGCCTACGAAAAGGATGGAAAATGATGGCAAGCTTGCTCTGGGCTTTCTCTGCCGCCCTCCCACTCATCTCCCAGTGTCAGAGCCCCCACGCTGGGGAGTCACTCACAGGAGGATGCCATGGGCTCTTCCTGGTTATAGGTATCAATCAATAGCAGCAAGACCATAATACAGGCCAAGACGCCGAGGGAGGAGGCCAATGGGTCCCTGGGCAGATCTGCAAGTCCTTCAGGAAGGCTAGGTCAGCAGGGCAGGGGGCCGGGAAAGGGACGAGGTGACCAAGTAGGAACCTGGCGAGAGCCATGAGGCTTGGATCATGATACGTATATGGAAAAGCCAGGGCAAAATCTGGTGGGCATTTTGAAGAAATGACTGGACCAAAGAAATGGAGGGTTAGTATAACGAGAAAGGCAAACGTCTGAGATCTCCTCAAGTTCTTAGCCCAGAAAAGCAGGAAAGGCTAAGGAAGGAGGGACCATCCTGAAGAAATGCAGGAGATTGCGGAGGGGGTAGGGGCAGACAGAGTCTCCAGGGAAGAAGAGGCGTAATGGAGGGGTGTGCAGACAGCGGAGGGAGACTGTGGTCCCCGACGCGAGAGGACTTTGCTGAGTGTAGCTGGGGAGATGAATGTGCGCACAGACGCAGAACAGCCAAAGCTCGCCTGGGGGCCATGGACAGGCAGTTCCCCCAGCAACAGACCAGAGACCCTGCAGGAAGGACACAGACGCAGAAGGAAACCAGAGAAAATCCAGGGCCACTGAGACCGAAAGAAATGGGGTGCTGCCTGGCCGGCGTGGCTCAGTGGATAGAGCGTCGGCCTGCGGACTGAAGGGTCCCAGGTTCGATTCCGGTCAAGGGCATGTACCTTGGTTGCGGGCACATCCCCAGTAGGGAGGTGTACAGGAGGCAGCTGATCGATGTTTCTCTCTCATTGATGTTTCTAACTCTCTATCCCTCTCCCTTCCTCTCTGTAAAAAATCAATAAAATATATTTTAAAAAAAGAAAAAAAGAAAAAAAGAAATGGGATGCCATCCAGGCAAACAAAGCAGAGCTCACGGAAGACAGAGCAGACCAGTAACACTGGTGCGGGCCCCTCTACGTTTGAGAAAGAAGTTGGGGGGTGGAGGTGGGGCAGAGGCCTCAGGGGCTGCTTTACAAAAGGTGGAGAGAGAGAAAAGTAGGAAACCTTCTAAAGCTTCAGGTCCCCCTCTCTATATGGGGCGGGGAAATCCCTGAGTACTCCGTGGATCCGCGGAGAACACACAAGGTCTGAAGGTGCTGCTCCGTTCCACGAAACGCGGGCTTTCTGGTCTGAGGGGCCAGAAACCCGGGGTTGGGTTCTTTCCTGCATGCTCCCTCCGCAGTGACAGGAAGGGCTGGGGAAGCTCCAAGAAACACACAGACACGCCTTCCCAGGCCTCAGGCCATCCGCCTGGCTGCCCCACGGAGCTCCAGGACCCGTGAAGTCCCGGCAAGGGGGTGGCCGAATGTGCTAAGTAACGAAAACGGCAGAGCAAACCCATATCGTTAATTCATCTTGGAACTTAAAACTAAGTCCATAGGAATAGTGGTATCCGTTTAACCACAACCCGCTGGCCACGTGCCCGGGGGGGTCTGTGTGACATGTTTGGAGACAGAGCACGCCCACAGCAACGTCGACGGTCCTCAGCTATCTCAGGACCCTGGGGCCTGCTGCTCAGGGGGCACTGCTTCCAGGAAAGGGGCAGAGGAGAGAAAGAAGCGCCCTAGTGCTGAGGGCGGGGGAGCAGGGGAGACCACCCAGAGCACAGGCTTCTAGCAAGGCGGTTCTTTCAAACGCTTCGCGACGGCAAGAGGTAGTGACTTTAAAATTATGAAACATGGGCGTGTTTTACTAAGGCCACATTCATCCACTCAAGTGCTTTCCTCCCTGAAAAGCCCACACAACTTACATTTTACCTAAATAGCAGTGGGCGACTCTTCAAAACACAAGTCATTCCCAGTATTTCAAGCTACAGGCAGCAATTATAAATGAAAGGATTAAACACACACACACACACACACACACACACACACACACACACACACTTCTTCACTTCTTTCTCTACGGTATGCCTGGGAAGGTCCCTGAGCTCCCATGATACTTGGAAATAGATACTTGAGAACAATGTCTAGCTTTCTAGAAACTAGGAACGTCCAGCTAAGAAAGAAATTCCATCAATCTTGTTCATTTATTTTTTAAAGCTGGAGCATTTTTCTCCCAACCCTCCCTGTTCTTTTTGCCGCGGGACACCCGAGGTCGGGAGCCTTCCCAGCTCTTTCGTACGCTCCACGGTATTTATTCTGCCTCAGACGGATCCAAATGACCAGGTTATTATAAGAAACCTAGACATTAAAAAGACTTACTGTTGTGCCTAGCCCTTGCCAATTAGAAAGTTATTACATGTATATACATATATGTTAAATATCTTGTTTGCCTCTAATATGTACACTTTTAAAAGCATCTTAAGATCTGGGGAAAACTTGATTTCTCTTGTTTTATTTAGTGGCAAATGGCCAAAGAACCCAGCTCCTTAGTGCTCGGCACCACCCACCCCACAACTTCCCCTGCACACGGCAGGTGCCCCGGGACCTGCTGATGCATCCACCTCCCTCTGTCCTGTTCATCTAATCTGCCTTTCAATTTATTTATTTATTTTTGTTAATCATCACCTGAGGATATTTTTCCATTGATTTTTAGAGAGAGAAGAGGGGGTGGGGGGAGATAGAGAGAGAGAAACATTGATGTGAGAGAGATACACTGATTGGCTGCCTCCTGCATGAACCTGTAGCAGGGCCAGGAATCAAGCCTGCAACCTAGGTACATGCCCTTGACCGGAATCGAACCAGGACCCTTTAGTCCATGGGCCGATGCTCTATCCACTGAGCCAGACTGGCTGGAGCGCCTTTCAATTTCTTACCAGTACTATCTTAGCAGTAGTAATGGTCATACTTAGTGTTGGGATACTGTTATCTAATATTCGAATCACAGTCAAGCCATTATTTAAAATGCTATCACGAGATTACCCGATATGCAAAAGCACTGAGCTATCAATCAAATAAGTCAGCTAGAGTCTCCCTTGATGTGCCTTCCTAACCCTTCCTGACACTGTCATCTGCAAGCAGCTTCCCAGACAGGACCTCGGAGCAGCTACTGCAGAATCAGACAGTACAAACGCGCTCGCAGACAGAGTCCTGGGGGATTTTTAAAAATCTGGAAAAAGACTGAGATTCCCCCTACAATACGACAAAGCAATTCCATATGAATAAAAGGCTTACATCGGGTATGAAAACGAAACCAAAAACTCATAAAGAGAAATAGCAAGAAATTCTATTTACATAAAGACGAAAACCCGTGGTGTGAAAAACACCACAAAAGTTAAAACTGTAAACTTGGAAAAATATTTGTCACAAATATGACAGAAGTAACAACCATAATAATTTCAGCATGAGAAAATTTACCAAGGATAGAAATCGTTCAAAAAATACATAAATGACTGATAATTAAAAAATGTAACCATCACAGAAATGCAAAAACAACGGAGCTCTAATCTGGGGGCCATCAGAGTGAAATGGAAAACGAAGATGGACAATACCCAGTCCTGGCCAGGAGGTGGGAGGACAGGCACGCTCTAAGATGACGTTTTGGGGAATACAAAGAGATTCCGAACTTTGGGAGAACGATTGGCAATGGATCTGAAAAGCCATAAAAAGTGGGATTTCCTTCAATGCGGCATTCCCAAGTCTAGACACTCAGCCTAACGAAATCACCATACAAAGTCGGAAACATACATGTGCAAAAGATACTCTTTAAAGCGTTGGTTAGAATATTGAAGAACTGGAAACAAAAATCTCAATGGTAACAACCAATCATTTCAAGTGATTATGGTACCTCCCCTCCATTCAATGGAATAGGATGCAGTTTATATTTAGATAACAATGGGGAAATCTGAGTTATTTCCCAAGTTCACATTCTTTTCAAATACTTACACACATTTTTTTCATTTAGTATGAATTTGCTTATAGAACTTCCAAAGTCATGTAGAGGGCTTATCGTTATTTCATATTGCCCAGGATTAAGAGGTGGGATTTTAGTACTTGTTTTCCCCAATTGATAACAAGAAGAATGGGACCTGCAATATAAGAAATCAAATTTTAATCAGCAGATAAAATTAATAGAACAAGTTCCATTAAACCTTGATTAACACAAAATGCACTGGAAAATAGTTTATGCTCTTTTGTACACAAAAACACGACAGGTTACACTGCATTTTAAGAATGCTACAAGAGAGTATAATGGTAAGTGCATCAATATGGGCGTAAGAAAAATCACCAGATTGTAGCAGAAAGTTGAGGAAGCATGGATGATTTCTTCAAGAACCAGGACTGCAGCATGCTCTTCAAACCCGACCCCAGTTCCCTCTCCAGCCTTACCTTCCACTGCACACACCCTCCTCCCTAAAAACTCCTCTCTTCTAACAGACACTGACCACAGAAAGGAAACTGGCTACTTGTCACCCCTAAAAACACACCCTCGATTTGTCTGCTCCTCTGTCTTGGCTCCTGATTCACTGACCAAACTTTCTGGGCAACTCTGCCTTCAAAATGCTTCTACTTCCCACTCATTACCTCTCTGACAGAAGCGACCGTCTCCTCTGTGGCTCCATGGCCCTTTGTATCTTTACGAAACACGTTTCCATTCTTTTACCGTTATTCATATGTATTTCTAACTTCCCATGAAAAATGTTAACGCAAGCAAAGGGACTCTTGGTGGCGTCCACACCCCTGCCTGCACCCCAGTACCTAACAGGGGCCTGTTCACATCATTCACTCAGGCCTGAGGACTTCAAACGCTGGGCTCCCTCCTCTCAGCTCATGGTGAGGCTTCTTTTGGTGCCAGCAGCACACAGCTAACACAGGGAAGGGGCACGAGAAGTAAACAAACAGGCCCAAGTGAAGCCATGTTAGACTCAGCGCCTGCTACCCGCTACCTTGCTACTCTGCTACCTGCTCCCTGCTCCCTGCTACCCTACTACCCACCACCCTGCTACCTGCTCCCTGCTCCCCTGCTACCTGCTACCCTGCTACCTGCCAGCCTGCTACCCGCTACCCTGCTACCTGCTCCCCTGCTACCTGCTACCCTGCTACCTGCCAGCCTGCTACCCGCTACCCTGCTACCTGCTACCCTGCTACCCTGCTACCTGCTACCCTGCTACCTGCTACCTGCTACCCGCTACCCGCTACCCTGCTACCTGCTACCCGCTACCCTGCTACCCGCTACCCTGCTACCTGCTACCCGCTACCCTGCTACCTGCTACCCGCTACCCTGCTACCTGCTACCCTGCTACCCTGCTACCTGCCAGCCTGCTACCTGCCACCAGGCACAAAACTTGGCTAAGCAGTCATGAGATAAGATTGATATCAATAGCTTACTCATACCACAAAGGTTTATTCATACCAGAAAAGAAAAACAAACCACACAATATACCGTGTAAAGGTTAAAGTTAACCCCAATGTGCTTTTTCCACTCTCTTTCCCCACACCGGCTATTTTCCATAGAAAGTACACCACCACCAGCTCCACCTCTGGAGACAGGCCTCCCTGCCTCTCAGGTCAGGAGAGGCGCTGCGCTGCTGGGAGGAGGCACTCGGCCTCACCGCTTCCCTAGTGCACTCCCTGCACTGAACTGAACCTCGGGGCTGGAACTCTCTCCTGTGCGGAGCCCAGAACCCTCTGGGCTCGGGGCATCAAAACCACCCGAGTCCTCAGAATCGTGCTGTCATCCGTGCACGCACTGAGCCCGATCCTCCTTCCACCTGGAATGGCCTTTTGTCCTTCTCTGCTGAGAAAACGGAGTCTTCCTTCTCCCACCACGCTTCCTCCGAGCAGCGTCTCTGGAGCGGCCGCCACCCTCCTGGGCCGGTGCTCGCTGGCCCCCCACACACCCCGTCAGCACTGAGCCCACAGTCTGTCCCCCGCGAACCCCTGGGGGCGACACCGACTTCCTCTCCCTGTGGCCCGTGGCTCTTCCCCACACTCTGGAGGGCTCCCCTCTGCACTCGCCGTGGGACTGCACTTCCCCACTCCTCCAAGCAGGGCCTGCAGGGAACGCTCAGTGAAGTCACATGATCACTTCCCCTTCCTGGCGGAAGTGGGAAGCCCCTCCAGCTGTGCTCCCCGCTTCCGGGTCACCACAGCCCCTGGGCCTGGGCCTGGGCCTGAGCAGAGCTACCAGCGGACCCAAGACAGCACAGGGCACCGCGGCAAAGCATCCTTTATTTTCACAGCAGGAAGTAAAGAGATGAGAAGTGAGGGTTGTTTCTGCAACACAACCAAACTCATCCAAACTGATAAATTACCCCAGTTCTTGGGACAACACCCCCTCAATGCCCTCCAAATGAGAAAAAAACCCGAGTGTCTGTAAATACACATTGACGTCCATTTACATGAGGACTGCCCGTCAGCCAACGGGGACTTGGAGCTGCTCAGTGGGATCCTCTGGAATCACTGAGACCACAGATGGGGAGCACCCTGCCCAAGGGCCATATGAGTCCCCGGAAACCATTGGGCCTGGCCCTGCCAAGGCATTAGGGACGAGTTAGTTAAATGTTTGACTGAATATTGCATGCCAATTTTTAATTTGATAATTTTGCATGCCCCACAAATGGTGTTATAAATATCTAAATAGCCCTTATCGGGAAAAAGGTTCCCCACCCCCCGATTTAGACAATCCCATGGGATGGGGGAGGCGCATGTTGTGGCTCGCAGGCAGCCCAAAGGCCTCAGCCCGGCCTTCGGAGCGTCTAGCCCTCTCCAGCTTACCTGAGAGGGTCAGGAGGTGTGACAAAACCTGCCACCTGCCTCCTAAGGTTTACTTCCCCCTTTTTCCTTATTGACATGAACCCGCTGTGTATCTGGGCACACTGCCACCCGGCTGGGGGAAAGCAGGGCCCAGCCTTGTGCCTGTCGGCTTAGCCGTCTGCCCGGGTTCTGCCCGTGGGACATAGCGCAGGTGTGAGTGGCACTTCTCGGAAGTGTCCCTAAGGAAGAGCATCCTCTTCTCCTCCCGCTTTACGGGATGCAGACATGACAGCCGCTCCTCAGGCCTCATCCTGAACCACGTGACCACATGCCGAGGACGGCGGAGCAGTGGGGACAGAGGAACCCGGGGCTCTCGTGGCCACAAACAGCCGGTCAGCCCTGAACTCGCACTCCAGACCTTGCACGTGAGGGCAAAGGACCAGCTGGTAAGCCACCATTACTGACGTTTTCTGTTAGGCACAGCCCAAACTTCAGCCTAACGCAGTGGTTCCCAACCGTTGTTTGGTCACGCCCCACCTAAGCACCTCTAAGATCCTGATGCCCCTCCCCCCGTGACACATAATTCTTATTATTCAAAAAGTGAACACCTATTCATGTGGAGGAAGCCTAAAAGGCTATTAGCTTGGTCTAAACAAGCTTCCAAAGAACATGGCGTCCATAAAGAGAAAAACGAAAGGAAGAAAGGATAGTTGAAGTACTGAGGAAGAAATCACTAAGAAACTCTTAAAAAAAAATAATATGAAGTCATATGAAAAAATAGAAAATAAAGTTTCAAAACATATAAAGACCTGAAATGCATAAATGCCACAATATATATTTATATACTGTATAGGAGGCCCCTAAGACCATAAGCAATGCAACAAATTAACTGTTAATCACTCATGCTCTAATCGCCCCCCCCTTAAAAATCAAATTGCCCCCCTGTGGGGCGTGTGCCCCATGTTGGGAACCACTGGCCTCACCGATATAGGCAGACGCTGGCCTGGGACAGACCAGCGAACCTTCCCCGGAGAGATCAGCACCCACCACCCACCCACAGGCCCGGTGTGCCACCTATTCCCGACGGATGAAAGAGTCAGCATTTGTAGGACACAGAGAGCTCAGATTTCAAATTTCCTTCATAAAATGTACAGAACAAAAGCGTTATGCTCTAAAATTAAAGAGAGAACCTTTACTTTTAGGCGGGAGCTGCCAATGAACCGAAGCATTTCCATTACCCGTTTTGGATGCAAACGTCGTAAAGAGCACCGCGGCCCGCTCCCGAGGGCGCTCTCCAAGAGCAGTCCCACGCTTGCAAGTCGCTGGTTACACACTTCACGTCACGGGGGCCGCCTGGAGACGAGAAACCACACACACACACCGTGCTGAAAGATGGAGCTGCTCTGCAAAGAGCAAGCCAAGCTGCGTTCAATAAGTACAAGCATGTGTGTCTGCAGCGGGCCCACGCTCTGTGCTGAGATGAGCCTGCGGGCCCAGGAGGGGGCTGGTTTTATATTTCTTTTTGTAGCTCCGGCTTAAAAAAGCTCCAGAGTAGCCTGATGAAAGTGGGCCGACCGCTAACCACTCAGGGGGTAGGCTTCCATCAAAAATTCCACTTCCAGGCAACGAAGACAAAAACAGGAGCGCCCGTGTGGACTCCGTGGTGGGACCCAGCGGGGGCCTAGGAGAATTTTTATCTCCAAGAGCCTCATTTACTAAAAAAAAAGGAAAAAATAACTCTAGGTAAGAGCTATGTCTTTCCCACAAACAGGGCTCTAGACACTCCCAGCCACTCCTGCCTCGCTGCTGGCTACCAGACTGCCACCTACATAGAAACCCCGTAACCAACCTCCAGATTTTTATGCAGCATATTAAATTTATACGGTAATGAGCTCACACAAGTGTCTGAGAAATATATAGTTCACGTGGGCCTGAACAACTGCAAAGTAGCCATCAGGAAGATCACAATCTAACAGTGCTCACTGCATCTATAAAATAACATGACGTCACGGAACGTGTCAGCGCCATGCAATGGAAGACTGTCATTCTAAGAGGAAACTGCGAAGAAAGGAGGGCACAAAAGGAGGGAAAGAGAAAGGATGAAAGGGGGAAAAAGGAAAGGAGAGAGGGAGGGGGATGGGGGAGGGAGAGGGAACAGCAATTAAAGTATAAAAGAGGTATTCTACCTCAGACTCTCTGTATCAGCCATTTTCAACCTTTTTCATCTCATGGCACACATACGCTAATTACTAAAATTCTGGGGCACACCAAAAAATATATTTTTTGCCAATAGGACAAAAAAATAGGTATAATTTTAATTAATTCACACCTAATGACTCGTGTGTTGGCTGTTGTCATTTTCTTAGTTGACAATCTAAGGGAAAAAAGGTCAGTGCCCCTGACTAAATAGTCACATTTTAAAAATTAAGACTATACTTTCAGGGATCATTTCTATAGTTCATATTTTAAAAATTCTTGCGGCACCCCAGCTGGAAAAAAATCCCTGTTCTATATAAGTGCCTATGAAAAAGTCTTTTTCTCTAGTATTTACATAGAGTCGGCATGATATTTACTACAGCACTAAATCATAAAGCTGTTTGTATAAAAGAAAACAAAAACATTATAAGCGCTCACATTTGAAATTATCAGTAGTTATAATGAAGTTATTTAATCGTGATCTTGGGGAAATGGAAATAACATCCACACTAAACCCAGGGGCAGAGGGGTAATGTTTTATAGAAATAAATTAGGTGACATCTAAACAAACATTCTTAAGGTAGTTAAATAAAACGAAAACAAGTAGCATGTTAAAGAGAGATACAGTATTCGATTTCATTTATAGGACATTCTGAAAGGCACTGGAGAGAGAGAAGCCGGTCAGTGTGGCTGGAGGGCGGACGGGAGCGGCTGGCCCAGAGGAGCCTGGGAAAGTTCTGGAGAGACTGTTCTGCACCTTGTGCTGGTGGCCACATAACCGTATGCATTTGTCAAAATTCACAGAACTTGATCCCAAAAGGGTGAATTTTACTGAATGTAACTTATACCTGAGCTTTTAAAATGGGGAAAGAATACTTAGATCTATATTTAAGGGCTTTTTAAAAAGAAACCAAACGTATGTAGAAAGAAGATGACAAAGAAACGGATTTTAACCACCCAAGCCCTAAAGGTTTCAATGAAGACACAAGACCACAGTCAGTTCGCTCTGTGACTCGAAGGCACTTACCTTTTTTCTGGCTATTTACTTGATTCATTAAATACAGAAGGATAAACGTGGACAGGAACCACCGGAAATGTGCCGTCATCCTCATCCCTTCGCTGGCCGCCATCCGGGTGGGTCGTCCTAAACACGAGGCCATGCCCATCCTCCGTCCAGCGTGGTCGGCCCTGGACGGGGAGGAGAATGTCACACGGCGCTCCAGCGGCTCCCCACACCGGCCTCGCGCTGGGCATGCGCACGCTGGCACGGGAAGCGGACACGGACAGCTCCTGAAACCCGGCACGGAAATGGCCCGGGAGACACCGGGCCCCGCCGGCTGGGCTTTAGGAGACATTAGCGATCGGACACAGCTGTTGCTGCAGATCCATTAGAGCAGCGGTTCCCAGCCTTCCTAATGCCGCGGCCCTTTAATACAGTTCCTCATGTGGTGGTGACCCCCAGGTTCATTGTGACAAATTGAACATAATTAAAGCATAGTGATTCATCACAAAAATAATATGTAATGATATATGTGTTTTCCGATGGTCTTAGGCGACCCCTGTGAAAGGGTCATTCGACCCCCAAAGGGGTCGCGACCCACAGGTTGAGAGCCGCTGCATTAAAGGGTCACTCTTCAAATGACGGCCTTCAAGTTCAAGACTACGGCCGAGCACGCTGCTCTCCACTCTGATGCTACCGGAGTACAGAACAGCCGGGCATGAAACTGAATCTCTGACAAACCATTTTAAGTGATCCATGGAATGACATTTCAAATTAATTCATTTACATTCTCCTTTATAGTCACTTGTTTTTGACAATATCAGTTTTCCACGGACTGTGGTTTACAGTTTCTATTTCATATACATTTAAGTAGTTTAAAAAGTAAAGAAAAAAATGGGAGAAGATAGGGGGTTTGCAGATGTGACAAAAATACTGATAATGGAACGTAAGCACATCGCGCTTGAAAATTTGCTGCTTGAAAACAGTGACTGCCCTGGTGGGCGGCAGGGAGGGGCCAGGGCAGCAGCCCGAGGGCCAGGTCCTCCTCCCGGCACCGGGCACATCACCAAACTAGACAAGGCCACTGCCCTCAAGGACCTCAGACTCCAGTTCGGAAAGACACACACCTGAACAAATAAGAGCTTTACCATCCTGCTCTGCTCTTTGAAAACTAGCGTAGGTCAATGTGTGCGCGAGCGTGAGTGAGATCTGACTGATCGCAGGTGCCCTGACAATCAGGGGACAGAGCATCGGCAAGTACCAGGTCCCTAAGACAAGGACAAGCTTCCCAGGAAGAGGGGCCGAGAGCAGGGAGACGCAAAGAGACGTGGGCTGGTCATGGCCAAGGGAAGGGTATGGGGTTTAACGGGGTTGAGAGAAGTCACCGAGTGCTTTAATCAGGGGAGACCCTGATCTGAGAATATTCCTCCAGCTGCTGCGTGGAGCACAGACTCGGGGGGTGGGGGAGCAGAGGCAGGGGAACCGGAGTCCAGCTGAGCATGTCAGAGGCGAGGGCCAGGGTTCTGAGTGGAGGGGCATCAGGTGCTGAGGGATGGAGGGTCTCACCGACACACTACAGGGAGGACAGTGTGCAGCTTACAACACGGATAAAAAATAAAAAAGAAATAAACAAAAAACACAAACAGATGCGGTCTGAACCTCAGCTTCGCCACCTACTGTGTGATCTCGACCTCTCTGGGCCTCAGTTTCCTCATCTGTGAAGTGGGCTGATAACTGTATTTTCCCCATGAGTCTGTTGTGAGGATTAAATGAGAAAATATCTAAAATGCACTTGGAAGAGTGCCAAGCAGATAGTAGGTCCTATAAGCGCCTTCTGTGTGTTGTGGGAGGTACAGGGAGGCCCCCATAAGAAGTGACGGTGGAGGTGGGTGCCATGTGAACCCTCTCGGGGTGCACGAAGGAGGAGGCAGTGACGTCTGGGGCTGAACTGAAGGGATTTGAAGGTCTGTTCACAGAAGTCCACTCTGATGTGCTCCCACTCCCCACACCACAGCGGCATTCCCCCTACAGACACAAAGAACAGCCGAGGACCCAGAGCAGCTAACAAAGTCACGGGCGCCAAAGAGGGAAGCTGCCCACATCGGACGCTGAGGCAGTCCTCAGGGTACACGTTCCCGTCCACTCTCGTGGAATGAAGACTGCCAGCCGACACGTCCTCCAACGTACGGAAAACTCCTTGTTAGACCTAATGTCGCCTCACTTTTATACTGGCACAGACCGCCGAGGATCCCAAAACATACAGGGGTGGGCAAGGCAGGTTTACAGAAGACGAATACAAATAAACACTGTAAAAATTAATTAATGACAATACAAGAATATAAACTGTGTCACATCCTCACAACTATACACCACCTACTTTCGCCCCACCCTGTATAGGTAAAGCAGACGACATTAAAGAGAAATTAAGGATAAACTGAACAATGAAAAGGCAAATAAAAATTACCCCCAGAGAAAGCTGGGAGAACGTGGAAAAACTAAAAGGAAAAAGACGACAGACCGCCACCTCTAAACAGCATTCTCACAGCAAACATGGCCCAGCCATAAAAACAAGAGTCTTGCCCTGGCCTGTCTGACTCAGTGACAGTGCTGGCCCACCGACGGAAGGGTCCACCGATGGAAGGGTCCCGGGTTTGAGTCCAGACAAGGGCACGTACTTCGGTTGCAGGCTCAATCCCTGGCCCTGGTCTGGGTGCGAGTGAGAGGCAGCCACTCGATGTCTCTCTCTCTCACATCAATGTTTCTCTCTCTTAGTCTCTCCCTCTCCCTTCCACTCTCTTTAAAAATCAATGGAAAAAATATCCTCAGGTGAGAATTAACAAAAAAAAAACAACGCAAAAAACTAAGAGCCTTTGCCTGGGGCCCCGGGCGCAGGACGCACTGTGCGGTGATGTTTTACTGAGTCGTGCGCTTGAAACCTGTGCGGTTTTGCAAACCAATGTCACTCCAGTAAATTCAATAAAAAAGAAATGCAAAGAATAAACTGTCTTCTGCACAGGGAGACTTCAGAAAGTTCAAAAAAAAAAAAAAAAGAGGATGCAATGAAAAAGGAGTAATCAGAAATAAAAATAGCTCTTACAAGTTGAAGACATTGCTTAATATTAAAATTTTTTCAAAGACAGATAAAAACATTGAGCAATCTTTCGGAGGAAACAAAACAAAAGACAGAAATAGAAAATGTCACAGGAGATAGATACAGGGACTTGATAAAGGAAAGGAAATCCAACATCTAAATCACCAGAGCCTGACAGGAGAATCCGGAGCCTGATAGGAGAATCCGGAGCCTGATAGGAGAATCCAGAGCCTGATAGGAGAATCCAGAGCCTGACAGGAGAATCCGGAGCCTGATAGGAGAATCCGGAGCCTGACAGGAGAATCCGGAGCCTGACAGGAGAATCCGGAGCCTGACAGGAGAATCCGGAGCCTGATAGGAGAATCCGGAGCCTGATAGGAGAATCCAGAGCCTGATAGGAGAATCCAGAGCCTGACAGGAGAATCCGGAGCCTGATAGGAGAATCCGGAGCCTGATAGGAGAATCCAGAGCCTGATAGGAGAATCCAGAGCCTGATAGGAGAATCCAGAGCAGTCGTGGGCAAACTACGGCCCGCGGGCCGGATCCGGCCCGTTTGAAATGAATAAAACTAAAAAAAAAAAGACCGTACCCTTTTATGTAATGATGTTTACTTTGAATTTATATTAGTTCACACAAACACTCCATCCATGCTTTTGTTCCGGCCCTCCGGTCCAGTTTAAGAACCCATTGTGGCCCTCGAGTCAAAAAGTTTGCCCACCCCTGATCCAGAGCCTGATAGGAGAATCCAGAGCCTGACAGGAGAATCCGGAGCCTGATAGGAGAATCCAGAGCCTGACAGGAGAATCCAGAGCCTGATAGGAGAATCCGGAGCCTGACAGGAGAATCCGGAGCCTGACAGGAGAATCCGGAGCCTGACAGGAGAATCCGGAGCCTGATAGGAGAATCCGGAGCCTGATAGGAGAATCCAGAGCCTGATAGGAGAATCCAGAGCCTGATAGGAGAATCCAGAGCCTGATAGGAGAATCCGGAGCCTGACAGGAGAATCCGGAGCCTGACAGGAGAATCCAGAGCCTGATAGGAGAATCCGGAGCCTGATAGGAGAATCCAGAGCCTGATAGGAGAATCCAGAGCAGTCGTGGGCAAACTACGGCCCGCGGGCCGGATCCGGCCCGTTTGAAATGAATAAAACTAAAAAAAAAAAGACCGTACCCTTTTATGTAATGATGTTTACTTTGAATTTATATTAGTTCACACAAACACTCCATCCATGCTTTTGTTCCGGCCCTCCGGTCCAGTTTAAGAACCCATTGTGGCCCTCGAGTCAAAAAGTTTGCCCACCCCTGATCCAGAGCCTGATAGGAGAATCCAGAGCCTGACAGGAGAATCCAGAGCCTGAGAGAAGAATCCAGAAAACATTCTCCTTAGTGCAGTGGTTCTCAACCTTCTGGCCCTTTAAATACAGTTCCTCATGTTGTGACCCAACCATAACATTATTTTCGTTGCTACTTCATAACTGTAATGTTGCTACTGTTATGAATCGTAATGTAAATATCTGATATGCAGGATGGTTTTAGGCGACCCCTGTGAAAGGGTCGTTCGCCCGCCAAAGGGGTCGCGACCCACAGGTTGAGAACCGCTGCCTTAGAGGAAGGACACGGACAGGCCCGCGTGGCTGCTGAGCGCTGTTCAAAACCGAGGACGGGTCCCCAACAGCTTAAACAACCAGAACCCAAACATACACGAGGCCGACCACACGCGGGTACAGTGTCCAATGATTCTCAGGATGAACCACTTTCTAGTCGTCCAGTGTCATCAAAATGACTTATCAGAATGGAAATGTACTCACGGAACGTCTAAAATGCAAGTTGCTAATGTAATAGAATTACATGGTCTGTATGGTAATAACTGAATGAAGGAGACAAAAATAACCACACACCATATTCACTGGCTGGCTGAGCATGACCTTGAAGTGAGACAGCCCCTCACTACAAATTCCCAGTCGTCCTAAAAAAAAAGGGTGTCCCACGAAGTGGCAAGGGCAGGGGGTGGAGGCACTGAGGCCCGCCCAGGCCAGGCACTGCGGACTCAGATGTCACCCTGGTTCCATCACTAACCGGCTCCATCACTAACTAGCGG